GTGCCTTTCAGTGCAGCCTTACCTGACACTCAATCTAAGTCACTTTTGTCCCACTCGAGCCCTATCCCTCTTTCCTACTTTATTTTCTTCATAGCATTTGTCACCATTGACATATTATCTATTTTATTTACTCACTTTATTGTCCGTCACCCCATCCTCCTTCAAATGTAAGTTATATGAGGGAAGAGATTTTGTTCCCTCGTGTGTCCACGGAACCTAGGATGGAGCATACAGTGTAAGAGGCACTTTATAATATTTGATGACTAAATTAATGCACTATAATCTTCAGCTTATGAAACTGGTTGATTTTGATAGCCCTGAAAGACCTTTTAGAAAATGCTGGCAACCCAGGAAGTGCTAAATAACTGCGACTCATCAATGCTCATAGAATTAGGTCTCTTCCCGCCTCTCCGACAGCCCCTTGCTTTGCCTCTTCTTCAGGCACTTCCACCTCCTGACAGAGGGTGTCTTCCCCAGGCTCTGCCCTTTCGCTTTTCTCCTCTTGCTCTGTGATGGCTCCTGTAGGGGAGCATCAGACTCCTGGCTATTGAACTCACCCTGGAAAGCCTGCATCTGCAGCATCACCTGGAGCTCTCACTGGACATTTTTCCCACCTGCATCCCCTTCAGTGGTCCCTTGTTACTGCAGAGTCGACATTTCTAATTAAACTCCCCGTCACCCATCACCTTCACAGCTTCTCCTTCCCTAAGCAAGAAGGGAGCGCCAGGGCCCTGAGCAGGGCAGCGATGTGTGTTCTTCCACATTCACAAATTGTATCTCACTGATTCTGCTTTGCATTTCCCAGATGGAGTCATCTAGCAAGTTCCGTCAGAAGCACGTGCCCCCAGCCAGCTTACCTGCTGCTAAAAGAGAATTTACCCCCAAAGTTAAAATCATGACTTTCCTACAGATGTAAAAATGAATACATGTTAGAGATTTTCTTTAACTTCTGAAACAGACAGTTGTTCCAACTGGTTCAAAAGGGAATTCTGAGAACCCGTATATTTATAGGTCAGGCACACTGACATGAACGTGCAAATGGGGACAAACCGGCTTTTCCACAGTAGAGGGCTCTCAGTCGAACTTCTACTGGACAGGATGTATTTCCGTATCTACCGATCAGGCTTGCACTGCACTGCACACCAATTTACAGAGTTTGTGGAAGATCTTCCCTGGAATCTGAATCAGATAACCCAGAGAAGTCTCCTCACAGTCTCGAAACAATGCATTGGTTTCCACGGAAACACAGCTTTCTCCTATACTCATCAATCTTTCTCCACCCTTGACTCCAGTCTCTATCAATCATATTGAAATAGAGCTTTTACCTCTTCCCGGCTTCTACAAAGAAACATCCTTGAGTCCGTGTTGACTCCCACATCAATAATAAACTCTTCCAGCCTTTGAAAATACTCTTTAATCCAGCATCACTGTCTTTTATAACTACCGTTTACTCCCTCCACCCCAAGCCAAGCCAACACCCTCCCGCACACGCCTCCATATCCTGAGGTCCTCCTCATTATCTGCATCCTTCTCCTTCTACTGGTTCGCTTCATGCTTTTTAACATTTTGCAGTTATTATCTAAAGGACAAAAGTGGGAGCCATCCTGTGCTTTAGTTATCAATGTCACAGCCACTAGACCTTGATCATGCATCCAAACATTTTATGAACAATGGTGTACATGTCAGCCACAGTCTAGACTCTAGACTTAGGCACTAGAATCTCAGAGACGAAAGTCATGGCTCCCAAGATGCTTCAGGGCAACAAACAGTGAGCAGTGAGCACACAGGTGTTCAGTCCTTTGAGACACGCTGCTTTGGGAGCAAAGGGAGGGCACAGTACCCAGATGTGGAACATCAGTGAATGTTTCCTGGAGGACATGGCATCGGACCAAAGTCTTGGTCAAGCAGAGAAGGGGCAGGAGGAACTGAAGCATGTGTACATATAACTGTATGAACACTGTTGGTTTTTATGTCTTTACAGTTGTAACAGGGCACAACAAAGAGGGGAGCCCCAAATAGGGATTTGGAATGGGGTCCAGAACTCAAGGTGTCCAGGAAATATTAGAAAGATATATAGGATGTCCTCACCCCTTCCCCCCATAGGTGTGAGTTGGGGGAAGGGACACATGGAGCAGGAATATGCAGAGCTATTTTGAACAGCAACAGCTTTGCGGCTTTTTTCTTCCATCTCCCCTCTAGAATGGTCATTTAACATATCTGTAACCTTTAACTGGTTTCCTAAATATGTTAAATAGCTGTGGCCATGCTTTGAGTCAAGGGGATGGAAGTGACTTCCACCCAAGATGTAACTGGGGGGCAGCTCCCCCTGGTTACAGCGCCTGTGTGAGAGCTTGGAGAAGATTGGCTCCACACCATGGGGCCACACCTGCCCAGACTTACAATGGCAGCCCAGTAAACCTGGAAGGATACAGGAATGCTGGCAGGTGTAACTGATTGTAGGAGGAGTTGGAAATGGGGCTGCAGAGGAAGACTGGCACAGGGATTTAAATCCAGATGCAGCAGCCATGCTGGAGGGAGAATCACGTGGTTTAGGAAGCAGGAGAGACTTTGCCTGGAAGAAAAGGGGTGAAAGGCCTCTTGCTGGTGGGCCATGAGAAGGTGCCACATGGCTTTGGATTAACTGGAGATTGTGGCAGGGACACAGCTGATGGTGCCAGGAGCCTGAATCACGGACTTCTACTTCTTTTCCTGAGATACGGTACCCAGATTAGGGCTGCGGGAGAAGGAAGCACTGTGTGCATCTGTGGGTATCCTAAAGGACTTTAGTGTTTTAATGAAGACATTGGGTCACTACTCGAAGTCTGTATAGCTTTAAATAAGTATTTCCTTTCCTTTTCACAAATCTCTGGCATTGAGAGACGTCTCTCCTCTGGCTTTGGGCATAGTGAACCTAATGGGGGTCCTTTCAATAATAGTATATCGTATACCCGCCTTGGGTCTGTTCTGTAAGACGGTTACCATATATCTGATCTCTATTAGATCAGTCTTTAAGGCCAGGAACACAAATTCTGTCATATTTCACGGTTTCTAACAGAAAAACATAGTAAACACTTTGCATTTTGAGTTTGATGGATGATTAAATCTTATATCTTAAAGTGGTCAATAATACTGTTCAGTAAGGACAAAAGTTTTGGGGGGCTGTGAAATGTATTTCTCCCATCTCCTATTAGGCTCATGAAAATGCAAATGCTGTGGTCGTTGAACAGAAGAAGTAAATAAGAATATGCCAGGAAGCACGGTACTCCTTGCAGGAGCAGCAGACAAAACCAAGGAAAGAGACTCAGGTACACAGAAACAGGGACAGTAGCTCCGTGTCACAGTTGTCTCTGAAGTGCGCAGAGCACCCCTCCATTCACACACAAGCTTGGGGGACAGATTTTAGCACTTAATTTTTGGTTGTGGAAACTGTAATTTGATCTTGTTGAAACAAGAAAAGCTCAATAAAGTAAATACAAAGATTCCTCTCTTTTTGAAGTGACTATAAACGAATTTTGGAGAGTTTATTGAGTTTCTAATGCAACTAAATATCTGAAGGAAGTGCAAGCTAAGGAGGACTTATCATCCCCAACTCTTCCAGCCTTCAAGAAAAGACAATCAGCTCCTACCTTGAACTAGTGCTCAGCCCCCGTCCACAAAGAGTCCCGTTGGTTGGGAAGATTACAGACGTGCAGGTCGCCGTTTTCGCCAACATGTTGGGCCTGTCGCGCTCCCTGCTTGATGTTCTCTGTCACTACACGGCCATGGAGAATCCCAAGAAGCAGGAATAAAAGTGGCCCTTTCTCCACCCCAGGCTTCCAGGAAATAGTCTGAGGCAAGATAGAGGATGTGAGGGGTCTTCACACTTCACTTCATCTCTTCTACCCATCACAACATGTAAAGCAACTACAGCTGGATTTTTCCAAACAACTCCTATTTCCTCAAACTCCTCCTTAACCCTATGGAACAGGAAACTGCCACCGCATAGGGCCCACTATAGGGGCTTTCTTTTCTACTCCCTCTCCCCGGTATAAAAATAAAGAATTTTTGTGCCCTCTCCCCCCCCCAAAAAACGAAAGAAATACAGAAAAAACCATGGAACTCTCTGCTGTGTCCAGCCGTTGGAGAATGAAATAGACAGTCTCTCCCTTCTGCGACTGAGACCAAGTGGAAGACTTTGCGTGCTTGGGTTCCGTATCCCCACCACCCCTACGCCCTGAGCTAAAATCAAAGATGGAGCTGTAACTAGGACCAGGTGTAATATCTATCATGGCTTTCGTGTATCCCTCTTTGAGCTTCCACATGTTCTCTAGGTAGGGTTCAACTGTGTAATCTTTCTTTTTCTTTAACCGTGTTACTTTTTCATAACCAAGTATTTCAAAACCCCTTCTAAAAAGAAAAATATATTAAAACATTGAGCACTACTCACAAAGCTATCTTCAAAAACAGTATTTGGGTTAACTACCCTACAATATTACACCCTTGGATCAGATGTAAGTTTGAAAAAATTGGAGAAAAAGGATAGGTACTTTCTTATAAAACTTAATAGAAGCTTCACTCCTACATTACTCCTCGGCCGTGAACCCACGTGCACCTCCCCGTTTGTCGGTGTTCCTGGAGCTCCGCCTCCGCACCGGCCCTCGTTTACATCACACCCAGACCCCGCCCCTCTCTAGTATGCCCGTGCAGGTCCCGACTCCTGGCTCCCTCACGCAAGTGCCTGCGCACCACGGGATGCCCCTCAGTCATGGCCACAACCTCGCTTCCGTGCCAGCACCACACAGTCTTCCGGAACCTAACCGCTCGCCCCGCCCCCTAGGCCCTCGCCCCGCCCCCAAGGCCTACGTTCCGCCTCCAAGGCACCAGCACGCTCGCTCAAGCCTGCACCTCCCGAAGAGCCCCGCCCATAGACTCCCTCCCCTCACGCCTCTGGCGGCTGCCCCTGTAACGTTCCACGGCACCTGCCCCGCCCCCTAGGCGCGTGCTGCCGTCCCGGAAAGCCTGGTCCGGTGACGCGCGCCCATCCTTCCCCCAAGTGCCACGTGCTCCCTGAAGGGCGGTGCTGGGGGCCGAGCCGACAAGATGTTCTGGCTGCCTCTTCCGGCAGCGGGACTATTTGCCATCCGACGTCTTGGAGTGAAACGTTTCTGGAGTCGAGGTTTCGTCGCCGCGGACATGACGAAGGTGAGACACCGTGGCTGGGTCTGAGACCGCCCCGGCAGCCTTGCACGCGGGCGACCGGGACTGTGGGGAGGGTCAAGGCCCTGGTGACCCGCGCTTTGCCCCAGGTTGAAGAAAAATGGGCTCAAAAGCAAAGTTCCTTCCCTTTGCAGAGCTCATCCTGGCCATCAGCCGTGGGTTCGGGCTGCTGAGTACCGCGAGCTCTCTGCAGCCTTATCTTTGCCGAGGGTGCGCCCTCCTTCCTCTTCTTGCTTGGAAGAGTCCTAGGATCCGAACTCTGGGCGAGAGAGAATAGCCGTAGCTGCCATTTCCTGAGCTGCGCCCTGTGCCATGCCCTTATTCATTATTTTGTTTAGTCCTCGCAGTAACCCTGGAAAGAACGGTGCCAGTATCCTTCCCACCTTAGCTAGGAGGGAGCCCACGTTTGCTGAGGCGGAATGTCATCTCCGGTCCCAAAGTCGGTCACGAGTACTCCACACCTCTGGTCCTTCCTCCCTGGAGTGGAAGGCCAGGAGAACAATACCGCTCTAGGGAAAAGGGCGTTGCAAAGAGACCTCTTTCTTCGTGAAATTAAAAGGAGAGTGTCTCCCAGAAGAAAAGCCTTCTTCACCTAATTGAACTCCAAAAAAATGATGAAGATCGCTATTGGGATGGGAAGGGTCTGGAAAGGAGAATGGGTGGTGGAAGGTGCACAAGATTGGGGCTCAGGCCGGAGAAACAGGGAGAAATGACGGTTCCCGGAGAGGAATGTTCTAGACTAGGCTTCAGCTCGGGTCACTGGGTCACCGGTCGTGTCCCAGCACTTTCCCGTGCTGTGCGACACCCCACCCAGGTAACATGCAGGTCCTCTCTTCTCAGTTCCAGGCTTGGTTTCTTGGAATCCAGGCAATGAGTAACCTTAGGAAAGTTAGAGCCTGGAAAGGTTACCAACCCCAAGAAAGCCCATTTTCTTTGACAGAAAGGACAGAAAAGACACAATCTGGTCCAAGTACCAGTATGATTTTGTGGAAAGGACAGAGGGCTGTGAGGAAGGAAGGCCGCAGGGTTCCCCTGCAGGTTAGTGGCACCCAGGCTAGTACATGCCGTGTCAGGTTTCAGTGTCCTTATCTGTCAGGTGAGAAGACCACAGTTCTTTCCATCCCACAGAGTCGCCAGAAGGCAGAAAACATTTTTAAAGTCACAAATTGCCCGGCAAAAGCAAATAGTGATTTCTAGGTTTACTTCTTTATTTCAGTTATTCAAGGCCCGAGGGGGTCAGTCACTAGGTGTTGGGCAGAATGCTCTGCTTCTGCCCCTCTTGGAGAGGCTGCATCCTTTTTCTCTTTCAGCCTGTGAACTGCCCTGAGTTCGTTCCAGTGTTGGCAAGCGCAGCCATTGGCACCACTGGGGTAGCATCCCAGAATTCCTGAGATGTGCATTCGAAGGTCGCGGGGCAGGAAGAACTTCCTTCTACTGTCCTAGGTTCTGTGGCTGGACCTAAGAATTAAACAGACAAAAGATTAACAGGAGAAAAATATACAAACTTTATCTGATATTTCAGTGGATTGTGGGAGTCTTCAAAAGGAAGATAAAGACCCAAAAGCCTTTAGGTCCCAAAATTTACAAACCTTTTTAAACAGAGAACAGAAAATGGTGGGGAGGTGACCAGAAAAACAGGCTTGAGCCAGGGGGGCAGTAAATCAGGACACAGTGAGTAGGAAGTATGGGGGAGGGGAAATGATGGAAGATAAGGGGTATTTTAGTAGGTCTGTTTGTGCAGGTCCATTTGGGTGTCAGCTCCCATACTCTGATAATAAGAATGTTCTTTTTCCTAGTACCAGGACAGCGTCTTTCTCGTGGGAAATTTTATGAGCTGCTTTTCAGTAGAATGCGGGAAGTTAGAGATCCCTTCCCACGTCTGCCAAATCTTATCTCAAGTTCTGGCAGCTCAAAGTAATCAGTATGACATATTGGGCCTATTCTTGAGTGGCATATTCTGAACCCCTTTGACCTGGTTACAAGTGAGATTGTTTTCTTACACAACACACCTCTCTTGCTTGAAAGTGTTAAGTTGTGAGAACCCTTTCATGGCAAGGGACCGTGAAGACCCAGGACAGGTAGGGATTACCATCTTGCCTTGGCAGGAATTTGAAACATTAGGCAGAATGTAAGTGTAGCTGAGCGCCCAACACCTGCTTTTTTGGCTTTGTTCTTCTGTTTTTCTTGGCATGTCCCCTGATAGGGACATGGTTCAGGTAGAATTATTTGCTCCTTCTGGAATTTGAGGACCCAGATTATTATTATTATTATTTTTTGCTCATTTTCAGGGCCTTGTTTTAGGAATCTATACCAGAGAAAAAGAAGATGACATGCCACAGTTTACAAGTGCAGGAGAGAATTTTGATAAATTGGTGTCTGGAAAGCTGAGAGAAATTTTGAACATGTAAGTATTCATCTGTGGGTTTCGGTTTCTAAGTGCCTTGAAAACAAAACAATACTTTTTTCTATGCTTTATTGTTAGTAGACATAAATTCTCAGAAGCACTCTAGACCCCGCTTAGTGAAAGTGAAAGTTCATGTCTCTGGAATGCACTTTGGTACTTTGGGTTTCTTACTGGTGGGTCTGCAGTTCTGGGAATAAGGCCACCTTTGGCAGAAATAGAAGTGTCACCATAAGCCTCTGCAGCTACATCTTATTTGGATTATAGATAATGTCTTGGACCCAATACATGTAGTCTGGTAGTGATAGTGATTGTCCATCACTATTAGGTAGTGGGTAACAATTTGCATTCCCTTTTAATTAGCAGTCATTCTCCAGTGGACCACCTTCTCATCTGCCTTAATCAATTTGTTAACTCAAAAGCTAACCCGCTAGAGTGTGGAACAACCTGGGCTTCCTGACTGGTAACTGAGCAGCACCAGGACATCCAGTCTTTGGCTACAGTCCTGCCTTGCCACCTGGTTTGATTGGAAATTGCCCGGTATCCCATTTGCCCATAAGCCCCGTAGATGTCCTCTACACCAAACTCTCGGCAGTCGGGAGCCCTCAGCCTGCTGTCTGACAGCTTCTATTCAGAAGAATTAAGGTCCGGGTCAGCCTTCATCAATGCTCAGCTCCCCTCTGCGGCCACACAGTGTCCCTCCAGGCATCGCTCTCCGTGTTGGTTTTCCAGTACGTTTGCATTAAATCTAATCTGGAAGCATGCTAAGTAGTTTTTGAGCTAGAATTAGAAGCATGGCATCTGAGAAATCTGGCCTGAAAAAAATTTTGTATTTTGATAAAAAATGTAAGTGCAGAAAATTCACAGAAGCAGCAGAGTATTTTAATAATGGTGAAGGTATGTACATATCACTTCTCAAAGGCATAGAGCAAACTAACAATTTAAACAACTATTTCCTCATTTTCAGATCTGGACCACCCCTGAAGGCAGGCAAAACCCGAACCTTTTACGGTCTGCATGAGGTATGAGATGAAGATAAGATTTGGCAAACCCTTAGTGAGCACCTACTATGTGCCGAGGACTGTGAGTGCAGGAAAACTTGGATCGTGTTGAGTGTAGTTCTATCCTAGTACGAAGCCATACGTATTGTTTAAGATCGTAAAGAGGTGAGCTGCTGTCAGAAGGGACTGCCTCTCTTGTATTGCTTAAACTGGAGGCTTTGTTCAGTTGCTGGAGCTGGAGCACTTTTAAGTAGCAAATTATTTGCAGGGTTCTCCACACTCTTTACCTTTTAAACACACACATTGTAAAATTCTAGCAAAACACAGGGCTCAAAAAATCCAACAACCAGCTTTGATGCTGATTTGGCCGCGTGCTGAGGCCAAGGCAGTTGATCTCGGATACTGGTCTCGGCTAGAAATGGACACGTTCAAGCTATGAAGTGGCTCATGTCGTGTTTCTGGAACAGGACTTCCCCAGTGTGGTGGTGGTTGGCCTCGGCAAAAAGGGGGCTGGAGTGGATGACCAGGAAAACTGGCACGAAGGCAAAGAAAACATCAGAGTGGCCGTTGCAGGTTAGTTGACTTTTTTTTACGCTCACGCGAGGACATGCTTACTGGTTTTAGAGAGGAGAAGGGAGGGCGGGGAGAGAACATCTCTGTGGGAGAGAAACATCGCTGGGTTATCTCCAGTGCACACCCCGACCGACCAGGGGTGGAACCCACAACCTAGGTATGTGCCCCCACCAGGAATTGAACCCGCGACCTTTTGGTTTATGAGACGACGCTCCAATTAAACTGAGCCACACCTGCCAGGGAGGGTGAGTTTACTTTTGAGGTTAAACATCGATGGAGATTCCTGAGGATCTACTCTTCAAGATTACTCTGTTCCCCTCGCGGTGGTCCTCTGACCATCCGCACCGACCACATTCACAGAGCAGTAACTCACCCGAATACTCAGTTTCCGCCACCCAGTGAGCTTGGCCTTATATCAGACATAGGTGGTTAGCTTACGGAATTTTGTTTTTACGTTTCTTTAGCTTGTGTTTGGAGGCTTCACGGCCATTTATTCACTCTCGCAGTGTTGACCTCAGAGGCCCTATTTTACTAGAAGGCTCTGTGTGTGGATTTTTTTCCCTTTTGTAATGCCTACCTTTTCAGCCAATGCAGTCATCATGTTTCAGAGAAATAGTCATCACAAATCAGAGAAAACAGTTGCAAAGAGTGGGGTGCTTGTTTGTCTCTAGTTACCAGAGGTCCCCGTTTGTCCTGCGGCCGGTGTAAGAGGTGAGGTGGACACCGCGAAGTCCCTGCAGGGCTCAGTGCAGGACGAGGCCTCCACCATGGAGACCGGGTGGCGATGCGGAGGCGTGGGAGCCAGGCTGAGAGGCCCTCGGCCCCGTGTGTATCATACACGCGTGTTAAATGTCCTTTCAATGTTCACGGTGAGGGACTATGTCAGAGCTTTTATTTGGGAGTTTTCGCTGATCTTAATAAAATGCTGGGTTAATACTGGACTTTGCTCAATTTGTTGGATGTAATTTGATTCCACTCACTTTGTCATTTTTACTTTGGTAAGTACCTGGAGATCCGGCCAACTTCATCAGGAAATTCTAGTGTTTCAGAAGTAATACTCATTAGTAACCATGGCCACTCTGTGAGGAGCCAGATCAGTCTTTTTATCTGTCAGTCTAGTCTGTCCTCCTGTGCCCTGTGAGGTGTGTACACCCTCATTTTACCTAAGAGGAAATGGGAGCTCAGGTAGGCTCAGAAAGGTCAAGTGGCAGAGCTTGGATCCAAACCCCGGTCCTGCTGCTTCCCGGCACACCACATCATGCCTCGGCCTTTTGCTATTCGGGTTGTCTCTGAATGGCTCCGGTTTTTCTGGTTCCTCTGTCCTTCTGAAGCGGGGTGCAGGCAGGTTCAAGACCTGGAGATCTCTTGCGTGGAGGTGGATCCCTGTGGAGATGCCCAGGCGGCTGCGGAAGGGGCAGTGCTCGGGCTCTACGAGTACGACAGCCTGAAGCAGAAGAAGAAGGTGGTCGTGTCGGCGAAGCTGTATGGAAGGTGAGGGAACGAAGCCCAGCCGAGGGCCGCCTTCCCCATTCCGGGCACCGCCGCAAGGCCTGTCTGTGACCGCCCCCATCAGCTGCACCGTTTGAAGAGTGTGGCACCTGTCCCCACGTTCAGCTCCTGACTCTCGTCATGTGCACGTCCCCCGTGGCTCCCTGGGCCCCTTCACGCTTTCTGGTCACTAGGCGGCCACACCCAGCTGGCTCCCTGGAGAAGGGAGGAACAAGATGCTGCGTCCCAGCGGGTTCCACCCAGACAGTTCCCTCTGCACCAGACCCTGACTCTCGTCCCACCATCTCCGTGCCACCCACGTCCATTCCTGCCGTGCACAGGAAGAGCCAGGCTCGAGACTCATGTCCGTCATTTTTCCTGTTTGGGTGGATTCTTGCCCTCTGGTCGGTGTTCAGAGCCCTGTCCCAGGCCGAAGGTGGAAAGGCCTTCGGTTCCCCATCGCACTGCGCAGGGCCCCCTGCAGTTAGCGCCTGGGGCTGTGTCACTCCCGACGCAGACGAGGGCAAAGTGGGCCTTTCTTGGGGAAGCCGCCGCCATCAGTTGTGTGGGAGGTTTAGGGCCACCCACACCCATCGGCTCAACCCCTTTTCTGTACAGATGAGGATGGTGAGGTGACAGGCTCGCCCGGGTCCCCCAGCTCACATAGTGGGCGCGCCATGCTCCAGTCTGGGCCAGACCCCAGACAGGGAAACCAGGTCCCGTGTGTCCATCATCTTGGTCACTGCAGCGTGGTTGGAGTCCGGGGAGGTTGTCTGACTGTGACCCTGCGCTTCCTTCTGCCAGCGGGGACCAGGAGGCCTGGCAGAGAGGGGTCCTCTTTGCTTCCGGGCAGAACTTGGCACGCCAGCTGATGGAGACTCCTGCCAACGAGATGACGCCAACCAAATTTGCCGAAGTTATTGAGAAGAATCTCAAAAGTGCTAGCAGTAAGACAGAAGTCCACATCAGGTAACTCGGGATTACATCTCAGACTCAGGCCAGCACAGCCAGGAGGAGCTGGGGGGGCCCTAAAATCTAGATCCCTCGACTGCTCCACTGCTCGGAGGAGTGACTTGTAACTTGAGACCAGAGGGGTGAGGTGACTCACCAGTGGCCACACACAAGGGAGAGGAGGGTTGTTTGAGGTTTTTCTGTTAGGGCTTTCCTTAGCTTTGAGAGGCTGCCATGACGTCAGACCACATACTCTGTGTGTGTGTGTGTGTGTGTGTGTGTGCGTGCGCGCGCGCGCGCGCACGTGCAATAATTGCTTTACTGAGATGTTATTCACGTACCACGTAGTCTCCCCAGGTAAACTGCCGTCCAGTGGTTTTGCATCCGGAGTTGTGCTCCTGTCAGCACAATCAATGTTAGGACATTTTCATTGCCCCAGGAAGAAATCTTGTACCCACTGACAGTCACTGCTCCTTTCCTTCCCTGCCCCAGCCATCAGTCAGTTCCTGGACATGTGGGTTATTTCTGCCTTTTGGATGCTGTGAATAGCGCGGCTGCGAGTGTTAGTTACACGTTTTTATGTGGACAGATGTGGGTATCGCTTGGGCATGTGTGTGCCTAGGGGGTGAGTTGTTGGATCAAATGGTAACTCTGTTCAACTTTGAGGAACTGCCATTTTTTTTTGTTTCAGTGACTTTTTTATCTTTTCTCTTTTGGACACAAGCAAAGAACACAGAGTACCTCACTAGGCCTTGGAGGTTCTCTGAGCTAGACAGGTACCAGTGCTGACATTCTCAGGCTGTCCTGGGGGCTCATCAGCCCCACAAGGCTGCCCCTCTAGGCTCCATTAAATTGAGGGGTCTTTGCATAAGGAATTCTTCACTGTCAAGGTTGTTTGTCAAGAGAACTTGAGAATTCTTCAGTATTTAATTGTGTGTGGAGTTTTTCAGGGAAACCCCTCTGGTCCAGAGACTGGAAGACAGAAAGTGAGACGTGTAGCAAACACAGGACTTAGAGCTCGGTAAAAGTTCTGTGTGGTTAGCATGCATTTACTGTACGGCACTGTTTAGTCTCCAGTCCAGTGTCTTGTCCCTTTGAGGAGACAGCAGGGCTGGTTTGTGTCAGCAGATGGTGGCTGTGCGGTTACACACCAGTGGCGGCACCTCCTGTGCACACGGGGATTTGGTGCCCAGAGGTGGATGGCAGGGATCCTTGTCCTCAAAGCAGTGAAGACTGGGTGGGGAGGAATGGGCAAGGAAAGGGGCCTGCGGGGCCCCAGGAGCAGAGAGGTGAAGGAAACCAGGAGAGCCAGAAAGGTTTACAAAGGTCGCGCCCACGCAGACACGGGAGGTTCGCATGGACGTTAGCAGAGAGCCGGGAGGGTGGTTCAGGTGGGGAGCACGTGCAGAGACCCTTTGGGAATGAATCTCCAGGCTTGTGACGGAGCAGAGGGAGGTCAGCCAGAACGTGGGAGGGGCCGGTGGGCGCAGCGTAACCCATTCAACTGAGTAGCCCATTAAACCGAGGCAGCGGCGCCAGACCTGCTCGCGTGTGGGTGTGTACAGATCAAAGCAACACACAGTGCTGCCAGAGGGCGGGGCTTGCCTGTAACACTGAGGGCTGAGTTTGTGATTATATGTACCCACATGATACAGCCCTGTTTCTTTTGAAGTGATTTTTTTTTATTGTCACACTGTCCATTTTTATATTCATCTCCCTCTGAAGCTCGGTGGCCATCTCCCCCTAATGCAATTTTAGTTTAATAGTTTCAACAAATGAATAGGCAAGTCAGGAGAAGCAGGCCTTGGACCTGGTCATTGCTGGGCTCTCTGGAGTGTCGGGTTTCTCTTGGCCCAGTTACAGTGGTCAGAACGCAGTACTAAGCCCTTACGTACCCCAGCACAGAAGGAGTGACGATATGGCCTCTGTTGTCTGGTTGGCACACGGCTGTTCCCCCTGCATTGCCCCTGTTGACCCTGTGTTTATTAAGTTAATAAATGTCTCAAACTGGGATTGAGGCCGTGAGAAATGGTGCGACAATACTGAAAAGACTGGATTCCAGCAATTCTAAAAAAAAGCAAGGAATCAGGATGTTTTTGTTCACTTAGGAATTGTGGCTTTGTTGGTTTTTTGTTTGTCCATTGTTTTTGTCTTTTTTTTGAAATACCAGAAAGTAAAGCAGTAGACACCTCCACTGTCTCTATAGATCCTTTGTGACCTCAGAGTCTTATCTTTACACTAAAGCTTCAAAAAATATGTGAGCAGGTTAGGGGAAGAAAATCAAGTATCAATTATTTGTTGACTATGCGTTATTACTTGACATCTTGCTATGTTCCGGGTGTGAATTCTCTTAGGAATTCCGTAGACAGTCTTTGGACGGCAGCATGGGCCACCTAGTTTGATAGCCGGAAAAACAGGAACAAGCAGCTGGCCCAAAACTGAGAGCAGATAGGATGTGTTCACTGAAACACTGATGCACGTATGCTTTAAGAGCTTGTATGTAACACTCTTTTATACATGGATGAGCTTTTTCTAGATTACTTTGACATAGAGATGAGAAAATGTATCTACTTTTTTCCTTTTCTGCCGTGCAGACCCAAGTCTTGGATTGAGGAACAGGAGATGGGGTCGTTCCTCAGTGTGGCCAAAGGGTCCGATGAGCCCCCAGTCTTCCTGGAGATCCACTACAGAGGCAGCCCCAATGCAAGTGACGCGCCCCTGGTGTTTGTCGGGAAGGGAATCACCTTTGACAGGTGGGTCTTCACTGCACCTGTGCTTCATAGTTCGGCGGATGCTCTGTGCGTGTTTGTACTATTGGGTGTGTGGGTGCCCGGGGCCTCTTCTCTGTGTGCTCATTGCACCTCGTCCTTTTCTCCATAGTGGTGGCATCTCCATCAAGCCATCTGCGAACATGGACCTCATGCGGGCTGACATGGGAGGAGCCGCCACCATCTGCTCGGCCATCGTGTCTGCTGCCAAGCTCGGTCTGCCCCTTAACATCGTCGGTGAGTGGGTGGGGGCGTCGTGGAGAACTGGGCCCCGGGCGAATGTGCGCGTGAGATGGCGCGTGGTGTCCTCTGATCTGAACACATCACAACATGGTCTTCAAACAGCTCTTTATCAAGTGGAAGCTGCTTAGCTGGGGTAGTGCTTTTTCTTGTCTGAACTGAATGAGTTCAGTGCATTTCACAATCATGGGAGGTGACTAGGAGTGATTTGTTTTACTTCTGCAAAAAGTGGCTGGTAGCCAGGGCGTGTGAGGTTGACTCGGGTTTCCTCCAGTGGAAGGTGCCCCATCATTGCGGCGGGAGGCTATTGCCCATCACATAGTGGTTTGCAGGCCGGGCTGTGGCTGATTAAATGCCATTACGCACAGAAAATACTAGGAGAGCTGAACAAGCCCTCTGTGCGTGGCAGCTCTTTGTGTGATACGGGGTGCAGACACAGTGTTGGGTGCTTGCCCTGTTTCAGAGAAGGGATGGGGGGGGCGACGTCCATGAAATGACATGCCCAGCGCGTCACATCCATAGCACAGGACGTTGGCACGGGGATCCAGTCTGCCTGGCGTCCCCCCACCCCACTGAATATCAGTCCTTTTTTCCCCCTACATTATAAGTAGCACACATCATGACGTGTCGCCCCTGAATACTTCAGCATGTGTCTCTTAAGAACAAGGACACAGTAACCTAATTCGCACTTCCCAGTTGTCTAAAAAAATGTTCATTTTGTGTGTGTGTGTGTACACACACCTATTTATTTCTCTTTTTAAAATCTAGGAGCCGGTGAAGGAACACACGTTGCATGTGGCTTCCACGTCTCTTTGGTTTTCTTTAATCCAGAACCTATTATCCCTTTCCTCACTGGCGGTTTTGAAGGGTCCAGGCTTGCCCGTGATGTTCCAGAATTTGGTTTATTTGGTGTTTCTTCATGATAGTTCAGATTAGGTGATGTGTACTTCTGTTCCTGATGAATATAATGTCAGCTGGGTCACGGGTGATGCTAAATTCGATCGCTTGGCTAAGGTGACGTCTGTGTGGCACACTTCCGGTGGCCCACCAGTGGCGTGCCTGCTGTGGGTGGCGTAGTTGGGCCCACACATTTCCATATTCCTTCCTTCATTTTTTTTCCAATAGGGTTGGCCCCTCTTTGTGAAAATATGCCCAGCGGTAAAGCCAACAAGCCTGGGGATGTCGTCAGAGCCAAGAATGGGAAGACCATACAGGTTTGTGAATGGAAGAGGCAGCCCCCTCCCCCCCCATTCTGGAGTTCCGAAACGGACCCTGGCAGCCTCACAGACACACCTGGATGGGTGTAGAGCGCAGGCTCGTGAAGGGAGGGCGGAGTCTTTACTCCAAGTGGGTTTTCATGCCAAGTCAAAAGTATTTCTTTATGGGAATTTTAGGAATTGTTTCCCACTGTATTGCTCCCCCTACACTGTGTAGGCCACACACACACACTACCATCGATTTGCAGCGAGCCCTGCAGAGCATGGCAAGGCAGGGGGAGTGCAGGCGGCCTCCGAACGCACCTGTGCTGTGATGGGCTCTTCCCACGCAGGTGTCGGGAGGAAACACTGTCCTGGGTCATGGGCGCTGTGCTGCTGGGACGAGGCAGCAGGTCCTCTGCTCGGGCACGTGTGTGCACGGCTGCCCGTGAGGACCGGGCCTGTCTGTGATAAAAGGAGACATCCTCCAAATAAAGTAGCTGAAGCGGCAGGGTTCTTGTGTTTGGAGGGCTAGGCTGCCACCTTCTCCTTTGATTTCCTTAAGCTCTTCAGCTTACTTGTTTTCCAAAATCTTGAAGTTTTTCCCATTCTGTTAGAAACTTGGTGAAATGGACCAGACATTCTCTGATGATTTCAGCTTCCAAAGTCATCAGCTCTGGTACAGGGACTATTAAATTTTATTTGCTTTTCAGATTAATTGCACTCCATTCTAACTGGAATATCTCACATTTTCAATGCTCAGTGACAAGCGGCCCACCGTCTTCTCACTTCTGAATTGACCATCGGTGTGCCTTATTTTGCTGTTCGTGACCTGGGCCAGCTGACCTTCTCATCCCTCCCTGACTCCCCCCTTCGCAGGTCGATAACACGGATGCAGAGGGCAGACTCATCCTGGCCGACGCACTCTTCTACGCGCACACCTTTAACCCCAAGCTCATCATTGATGCTGCCACCCTAACAGGTCAGACGGCACAGGTTTCCTGCCTGTGCGGGAAGACAGTCTCCCGTGCCGGTGTGAGTGTGCACACCGCCCTCAGGGTGGGGCCGAGCAGGAGTCTGACCCGCTCCCTGTGCGTGGACTCGTGCCACCGGTGGGAACTGCTTCGAGTGTTTGGTTTGTTGTTTTAACACATACCAGGCTGTAGCTTCAAAACAAGAAATAACAAGGGGTCAGATCGGCCCTTCCAGAGTGGCATGTGAAAATGATACTAGGAGGTGTTTGTTACGATGACCTTCAGATACAGCTATGAAAAGATGAGTGATAAACCCCAAAACCAATATTTATTTTTAAAATTACGCTATATCTGATACCCACTGAGTGCTCTGAACTTTTTGTACTTGGGCAGGATTCTCACTTGAGAGGGTCAGGCCAGAGTCACGTGTCGTGGGAAGCACATTGGCGTCAGGCCAACCCGGGGGTGGCGCGCAGCCCTGCCACTTTCTACTCTGTGAGCCTGGGGCAGCCTGCATGACCCCTGGAGCCTCTCTGCCAGGGGCAGGTCTGCTGGCAGAGTTGTGAAGCCCGGAGGACGTTGTGGCAGGCCCCCTTAACCCCACATGTGCGTGTGGTGGGCCCAGGGGCGGGGGGAGAGGGCGGACCACCACCGGCTCTGCAGTGTGGGGGGTTAACTTCCTAAGGGGCTGAGGGCAGGGCAGGCGCTGCCTCCCTGCAGACCCCCTGTGCAGTTCTCCGTCTAGGGATTCCTTCTGTCTGTGCCTCGGGTAGGATTAACATTCTGGTCTTTTTTCAGCCTTTGTTCTTAATCCTTCCCCTGGTCTTTGGCAGAGCTGTGTGCCGGGCCGCAGTCCACGATGTATTTGTGGAACCCTTTTTTAAGCTTGCACTGTATTACGGTGTTTCTGTGGGCCCGAGTTTCCCTGTGCAGTTCAGCAGGCCCTTCAGGCTGAACGATGCAGGTGCAGGCGCAGGCTTTTGGGGCGGTGACGAGGTGAGTGGTGGTAGCACGCCTTTCTGTAAGTGAGCAGTAACAGCCCCACCCTTTGCTTCCAGCGTCAGGATTTGAGAAGATACACGCTGGCTCCAGGTTGCCAAGGGCAACCTGATGGCGAGCCTTCGGCTCTCCCTGCCATTGCATTGGCCGGAGGCTGTAGATAGTTCACTTCGGCGCCCCGTCTGAGTTTGGGGTCAAAAGGGAGAATAAGCAAATTTCCAATCCTGAGTTCAATGAAGAAGGAAGTACCTAGTCTTTAGAGAGAGACAACCTGATTTTAAAACTTGCTGTCCTCTTAATAGCAGGTAACTTCGGACAGGCCTCAGTTTTCTCACCTGTGGAAGGGGTGTAATAGCGCCCCCTTTGTAGGAGGTGTTCTGAAGGATGCGCTGAAGTCGTTTTCAGAGCTGTGATCCCAGTTGGACCATATTAAATACCTGTCTGTCATTTTCTATTCCTTTAAGAAAACGTATCACATTCTTGTTTGAGTTTAGTGCTCATCTTTTCTCTTAGACATTTACTGAAACAAGTCTTTTGGGGTAGATAGGACTGTTTTGAGGACAAATGAGTAAGTATGGGAAAATACCATAGACTTCAAAAGTAAAGTATTAATGAGTATGTACATACAAGTTGGTGTGTACCCCCTGCCCACAGACATGTGGGTGGACTACAGACAGAATGACCGTCACCTGTCACAATCTCTGGCATATGGTGGCTGCCAGATGCATGTCCGTCCACATGGCCAGCACGTGTTTAACTCAGTTAGTGGCCAGGGTGACCAAGCTGGGTCAGAACAGATGTGAGGCGCCCCGTGGACAGGGGCTATCAGCAGCCCCTCCCACTGTCAGGTCTGAAGCTGCCCGGTGATGAGCACAAGAAGCCGAAGTAAAAGGAGTGTGGGCGCCTGTGCAGCAGGGGCTTGGCAGGCTGGGGGGTCAGGTGCCCCGTCTGGGAAGCACTGGGATCTGAAGGAGGAGGCATCACGGGTGGAGGAGGAGGGAAGCAGGAGCACCCCAGCGGCCAAGGGACCAGACGGTTGGGGGCCCAGAGGGGCAGCGGAGAGTGGGATAGAGAAGGGCACCATGAGGCTGATGTGTGCCGGTAGGCACCTGACCCTGGCTGGCCGTGGCATGTTGTGGGGTTCCGTCCTGAACCAGTGCAGCAGGAAGCTGCTGCAGTGTTAGGCATGTGCACCGTGAAAGGGACCCTGGCTGGCAGTGTGCAGGTGGACGGGAAGGGCCAGAGGGGACACTGGCAGGCCAGTGACTGGTGAATGGTGTGTAGCTGGTGACTCTTAAAGTGTGTGTGTTGGTGAATGTTATAGTATCTGCACTTGGCTTCAAATTCACCTGTTGGGTGTGGGATTTATATGATTGATATTGTTGCTGCTGGCTAATAGGTACCTGTGTGTTCGTTATGTTATTCTCTTTGCTGTGTGCATATTTGAAATTTTCCACAATAAGTTTTTAAGAAAAGACTATTACCATAATCGAGTGATAGGGGATGGTAGCAGTGGTGGTGGGCGGATGTGTGTGTAGGTTTCAGAGATCACTGGGAGGTGAAAAGTAGTAAAACCCAAAGGAACAAGTGGCCCAAACAGACCCGAGTTGCCCCAGAGTCACACAGAATCACAGGTTTTGGCACATGGCCACCATGCCAAAATAGTGATTTGTTGTAAATTGATGGTTTGCAATTTTTCACTATGAACTAATTATTAATGCCGTTTATTTGTGATTTCTTGAAAAAAAAAATACACAATCCAATATCCTAAAGGCACAGAGTCGGCTGACACCGAGGGCCGCTCCCTCCCCTGGGGACGGGTCGGGTTGATCACCGTGGTGCTGCGTGTGGCCAGTGGGTTAGCCAGAGCAACCACGTGAGTGGTGGGTCTAACCCTTATCCCCGAAGTCAGCCAGTGAGACACAGCTTCGCTGGGGAAGGAAACAAACGTGAAGCAGATAAACAGGGTAAAATAATAATAGGCTTTTTAAAAAAAAGTCATCATACTCTTCTAACAGTTCCTCACTGAGACTGATTTAAAATATTGAAACATTTGAGATGCCTAAATACCTAATAGTAAGTAAATTATGATATTTCTACCCAAAGGATTTCAAATCATCAAAGCTACTTTGAAACATTTGTTTTGAAAGAGGGAAAATGTTTAAAGCATAAAAGTAAGAACACATACTTGGACATACACAGTATGGTCTTAATTTTTTTATTTTTTAAGTTTAGAAAAAATCTGGACGGAAATATTTGAAAATATGTGCTGGTTCTACCTAGGATGAGATTATTGGTGATGTTTAATATTATTTTTTGTATTTTCCCTAATAATTGAAGGTGGGTGAATTCCAGCTTGAGAAATGAGAAAGATACACACAGTAAGAATTTGCTAACAAGTTTTCCTGTTTTTGAAGATGAGGGAAATATTTAAATCGAGCTTCGGTGTGATGGCAGAGAGGCCCCCATGCGTGGGGTGACGGGGCGCTGACCTGAAGCGTTGTGTCCCGCAGGTGCCATGGACGTAGCTCTGGGGTCCGGTGCCACCGGGGTCTTTACCAACTCGTCCTGGCTGTGGAACAGACTGTCCGAGGTAGGAATGATGCACGGAGACCCAAGGGGTGGAGGCGACTGTCCCAGCCTTAGAATGATCTGTTTCTTGAATCCCCCACGGTAAAGTGATTTTTATGTGGAGATTTGCCTTTGAATTGAAAATGCAATATACTTAATTCAGTGTGCTTTGGGTTTTCTACAACTGTCTCAAAATTACGGGTATGATTCCACCTTCTTCCTCTCCTCCAGTGACCTCATGATGTAACAATGACTCTCAAATACCATGGCCATACTGTTGAGTCGCTGAGGTTGAAAAGGTCAAGAGCACAGCTTTCTAAAGGAAGGAGTGGCCTTTAAAGAATGCCACTGGTCCCTTCCCAGAGGGGGATAACAGCAGTCTCCTGCCCCCACGCCCCGCCCCAGCAGCCCCACGCTTCCCCTCACCCCCTCACGGCTGTCAGCCTCCCCATACCACTAGCCTTGCCAAGACCATCTAGAGGCAGCGTGTACCTCAGTGACCTTTTGGTGACTCCCCAATCTTGGCTTCTGGGAAAATCTCTGGCTCCCGTCCTTGCTGACTTGTTTCAGCCTCCTTTGCCAGCTTTTTCCTTTGTCTGCCCCTCTGGTGGGTGTTCAGCCCTGGGCCATGTGCTTGTCCTGCTGTTCCCAGGCCCCACCGGGAAGCTCACTTCCTCGCACGGCCCCAGACCCTGTGCATCCACGTGACCCTGAGACAGCTCCACGTGGCACCTCATTCTTTCCACAAGCAATTAGCAGGAGCCTGCTGTGTGCCAGTGGGGAACAAACGCAGATGTCCCAGAACAGTTCCTGATGTTGGTTTCAGGTGCTAAACTTCTTGTCACCCTAAATGGCTTGCTCTTCCTCTTCCTCTTCTCGCCACTTGTGAAGCCTTCCTCTCCCTGCCCCCGCGATCCCAGCTCAGCGTCTCCTCTCAGGCCGGGCCACAGACCTCTCCTGTAGTGTCGCGTGTACCCGTCTCTCTCTCACAGCACCCACGACATTGTCGGTTTTTTAAAAAATGCAGGCTTCTTTGAAAAAAGCCAAGTGATATGCAGAAGCATTACTTAAAAAACTGCCCACTGCTTACCACAATTGTCTGTTTTCCTGGAGGCGGCCACCTTCAACTCTTGGCCGATTCACCTGATAGCCACTCAGCTTGTACGGCTGCTTTCTGACTTTTCCCTTCCCAGCCTCATCTCGGACCACAGTGTATTGAAACACTGGTCCCTCTGATGGTGCAGAGAGTGAATTCCCTCTTCTCTGATGGTGGTGCTCAGTGAGAGTTCAGTCAACGTGGAAGGAACAAGTCCGTGTAAACGATTACACGGATGAGTGAGGTCACCTCGCACTGGACCCTGGGCCTCAGTGGTCCAGTCCCTGGGCACGTTTCCCCAGCGTGACAGGTGTCACAGCTTGCACGTGCTACAGGATGCCAGCTTCATAATTCAAACTGAAACCCTTAATAGTAATTCGATGTTCTGAGCAAGTGCTGTACAAATTTGTGGGATTGTTGTACTACACACTTGGTTTCTTTCATCATTCTTAAGTGTTTTAATTAGTAATAAAATAATTCTGGAGTCTGCCGTGTAGCTAAATGTTGTAGAGTAAAAGGCCAGAACAGCCCTCTTCTACTCGCGCCGAACACTCCACGTCAGTGCTGCGAGTTTGCCCCAAACCCCCTTCCTCCTCCTTCCAACCGTTGTGCCTGATTCCTCCGTAGGCCAGTGTTGACACAGGGGACCGCGTCTGGAGGATGCCTCTCTTTGAACATTACACGAGACAGGTGGTAGACTGCCAGCTTGCTGATGTTAACAACATCGGGAAATACAGGTACGTAACCTGAGCTACGAAGTGCATTTTCGTAGTCATTGTTGGTTGCCAGAATGACCAATGTCAATTTTAGCCCCGTTTGCAGAAGGCTGAACTATCCAATTTTCTTTTGATGTGGTGCTTATAGACATTAATTTCTAATGTCTGTAATTTTTAAGTATTTCTTAAATGGTTCTCAAAATTTTACATGTTTTCAAGTCCAAAGATCATTGTAGACAAACGGTAAGTGGACGAGATGGATAATACAGAAACTCATTACCTCGGGAAAAGGGGAATTTGGAATTTATCCTTTACTACTTAAAGCTGTGGCTGAAGATAAATACCTGGATGTGATTTCTGGGTTAACTTCTTAAGAGGTGTCTAAGCTTGACTTTTGCTCTGTGGTCATAGAGTCTACTTAGCAAGAGTGGAGGATCTTAACAAAACGTTCCACGTGTATTCACGTGAGGTAAGACAGTGACTCCTGTCTTCTCAGGTCCGCGGGTGCGTGCACAGCCGCAGCGTTCCTGAGAGAGTTCGTGACCCATCCGAAGTGGGCGCATTTAGACATAGCGGGCGTGATGACCAACAAAGACGAGGTTTCGTGTCTGCGCAAAGGCATGAGCGGGAGGCCCACAAGGACTCTGATCGAGTTCTTGGTTCGGCTCAGTCAAGACAGTGCGTAGTTCAGGTACTCGAAAGTTTCTTCACCTTGTCTTAAATAGGTGGTTGAGCTTCAAAATATTCTGCAAGGGATGCAAATCTTTTAAGGGAAACAAAGGATGGTATTTAAAATATAGAACAAAGTGAAACTTGTATGCCTTCATTTGTGTCTTCATTTTTACGTGATTTTAAAATACAAAGCTAGTGTATCGCTTGGCAAAGATTTTTAAGATATCCTGTATATGGATTGCCTTTTTTAAAACTACCTAATCACTTTTCAGAGTATGTTTTTAATTGAGTAGAAAAATTGTATTTCAGATTTGTGATCCCAGGAACCATGAACACATTGAAAGTTGTTGAGCAGTTGTCAGAAACAATAAATCCAGCTTTTTGTGCTCCCGGTGTGGCTCTGGTATTCCTTGTATCGTATAGCTCTATAAACCCAGACACTGCCGTGACCCGACTCATCGCTTTCCGCCTTGTTGTGTAAACTGCGTAAGTTGAGGCGCCGTGACGCAGATATTATCTCAATGTTAATGGTCACCCAGCGACGAGCTTATCAGTTTGTGATGTGGGCACTGCCACCTCCATATGGCAGATGAGGAGGAGGCACGAGAAGGTATTAACACGCCCGCGATGTCCCAGACTCGTAAGTGGGAGAGCAGAGACTGAAGCGCAGGCAGCCTTGCCTCCGCACTGGCGTTCGTGCCACACTGTAACCCCTCCGTTCAGTCCAGCGACCTGCGGGAATGTGGACTTTCTCTGAAGTTGCGAAACGAGACCACGAAGGGACTGCCAATAGGTAAACTATTCGCTTACCACCTGGCACTCCAACCAGTCAACAGAATTCCATTTGTGCAGCTCTCTGAGACAGCTTTTCCGCTGTTTTATTTTTACATGGAGTGAATCAAATTACATATGATTAGGATGGATGCCTGTTTTTTTTTTAAGACTGAAAAGTTTGACAGGAAAAGCTCTTTATGGAGTCATTTTTAGTACTTTTTAGAACTTGACATCTAAGGAGATACTGTTTGTCTTTATAAACGGGTTTACAGGGGGGGAATGGAAATGGCTATGTGTGTTCATGTGATTAGGACTAAATCCAGGCAGGAATAGTGAGTTCAGTAAACATGTTCTTCCAGGTCTCCGTGTCCAGAAAAGGTGGAATCGGAAGGTGGAACTACCAGCTTATGAAAGGAAACAAGCGTCAGTGAGATTCGTCCTGGGTAACTCGGAAGGCCAGGCAGGGATGTGACGGAAGGCTTTCTGTCAAAGGCCTTTTATGAAGAAAAGGACAGTAGAACCGCTGTGTGTTTAGTGTGAGGTACAAAAGGCCCGGCAGAGCCCTCGATTCGAGTGCTTGTCTAATCTGGCCGATGCCCACGCATCCGGCTGCCAGGTGTCCCCAGACCCGTGGCTGATCTCAGAGCCCCGATCTGAGTGAGGCAGGTGGTCCCATCTGAATCTGCTTCAGTGAGGATAGGCATGGCTGTGGACAGCAGCAAATCCAAGAAAGCAGTGTTTTAGAACAGTTAAGAGGTAGCTGAAGTGGGGAATCCAAAACGCAAGCAGCCCCCCAGGCCCGGCATCCCCACCATGGCCTCGGGCTCCCTCAGTCCCAGGTGGCTGTGGGGGTTGAAGGTTACATGAACATGAGGAAAAGGAGCAAGGCAAAGGGGGTACATTCGCCATTAACACACTTTATTTTTAGTATTTTACTTATTTGTAGAGGGGCTGGGGAGAAAGAGAGGAACATCAATGCATGAGAGATACATTGCTCAAGTTGCCTCTTGTGCACCCCCAACTGGGGACCTGGCCCACAACCCAGGCATGTGCCCTGACCAGGAATCGAACTAGCAACCTTTTGTTGGTCCACAGGCCAGCACTCAGTCCACTGAACCACACCAGCCAGGGCCACCATTAACACATTTTTAAGACCTTTCACTGAAGTCCCACACAAAGTGTTTATATCATCAACCAGCGTAAGCCACGTTAACGCCAATAATTTGGGGAGATGAAGAGTAACCGGATGCACTTGTCACCCTGCTGAAAAAAGGCAGAAGAAGACAGGAGATTGGCGATCTCTGTGACACGTTATACAGATGAAGAAACTAAATCTCAAGAGAAGTAAATTGCTAATGTTTGTGAACTAGAAAGTAGGAAAGAAGGTGAGAACCCAGATCAATGGATCTACAACCCAACACATGGCCTTGCCCTCAAGAAACGCTACTGGATGTAGGGCAGTATCTGAGCCCCTGCTGTAAAGGGACTGTGCGTACTGCAGGTGCGGCGAGGGGCGGTACCATGTCTCTGCTACTGTGCGTCTGCTCAGTGCACAGAAGGTCAGCACTGGTTGAATGAATGGCTGAGAAAGGAGACCATGGGATAGAAAATGAACTTGATGAAATCTTGGCATTAAAAGGTGAGGATTACAGTAGATTAAATCCAGAAATGCCCTCATGTCCTGTATGGTCACAGACACAGGGAGCGTTGCTGTTTTGGAGTGAAGAATTGGATCCAGCAAATGTTTATTCCTCGTTTACCCTGTGCCATGCATCGTAGAAGGTGGTTGGGATGGCCGATTAGACAAGATGCATCCCTGCCCTTGGAAACATCACAGTCCAGCGTTAAGAGTGCTGAAGCTACGCCCTGTCACTTGGTTGTCGATTAGACCGTGTTGGCCTGACCACTTCCTTGGACCCTTTCTCTACCGCCTGCCACATTCTATGGCTGCAGCTCTGCCACTCTTGAACTTTGAGCTGCTCCCTTTCATCACCGTCCTGGGGAAAGGGCTGCCTAAACCCTTCAAATAAGTCAGAATTAATAAATGCCTTGACACATTCCATTCCCAAATGGCTGGCTTTTCTCCTGAGCAGGTCATGGAGTTTAACTGACCACATTTCACCGCCTCTGCCTCTGCCTCGGCTGCCCTAGTCCTGCACAAATCACAGCCCTGTCTGCGTGGGGATCGGCAGATTCCTCCTACATTACTGCCTTATTGGTCCTGCCTTCCCTTGCTTACCTTCTGCTTCTCTACCTGGGGGAGGATTCTTTTTAAGTAAATTACATCACGTCACTTGTCTTTTCTCAGCGGTACTCGTCTATGCCAAGCACTGGATTCCACTTCCCTACATCATCTCTTCTTCATGGTCTTTCCAAAGCAGTGTTCTCCCAGTTTTAAATGAGGAAACGTGTTTTCAGCAAAACCCAAATGTGCTCTACTCTGGGATGAATCTGAGAGAAGTGCCACTGATCACTCTCTGGCAACTTACTCATGGTTAGGCAAACATGAGATACATATGATCTTTTGAGCCAGACATTAAAGGGATTTGCAAAAAAAGTCAAAAGCTGTCACTCTTCTCACTAATTTATTTTTGGTTTGGGAAAATTTTTATTTTTAATTAAAACAATATTTTATGTTAATGTAGTTTTTTAAATTTATCTTTAGAGGGGAAGGGAAGGAGAGAGGGAGAGAAATATCAATGTATGGCTGTCTCTCGTGTGTCCCCTGCCCCCTGCTGGGAACTGGCCTGCAACCCAGGCATGTGCCCTGACTGGGAATCAAACCTCGATCCACTGAGCTACAGCAGCCAGAGCAATGTACTAAGTTTTTAAATACATTTTTAAATTCTCAGCTGTAATGGGTAAACCTGTTCTCAAATTGAGTAGGTAAATATTGGCTGACATAATCCACACAGGCAAAAACATTTGGAGTCCCCATTTTTCGGAATGTAAAGGATCCTGAGACCCAAATGTTTAAGAACTGCTGACGTAGACTAGCTCCTGCTGGCAAGCCGTATTTACTACGTCTCTTTTATGCCGGGCACAGTGCTGGGTGCTGGGAGCACACATGAAGACAGGCCTCACTGTCACGGGGCTCAAATTCCAGTTAGTGTGTCCATGTGTGTGAGGCAACTTTGTCAATGAAGAACACCAATAAAATAATTGGAGATGATGTTTCAGTGCTCTGAGGAAAATTACACAGGGTAGCCCTGGCTGGTGTGGCTCAGTGGGTTGCATGCCAGCCTGCGGACCGAAAGGTCAGTGGTTCCCACTCAGGGCACATGCCTGGGTGCTGGTCCCCAGTTGTGGGGGTGTGAGAGCTAGCTGAGAGGCAACTGATCAATCTTTCTCGCCCTCTCTCCTCTCTAAAAATAAATAAATACAATCTTTTTTTTAAATTAAACAGAGTAGTGGCTTGAGAGTGTGGGGCTAAGACGGAAGCTAGGAAGATGACCTTTGATCTGATCCAAGACTGACAGGCAAAGGGAAACCCTGGCTTTTCCTCTGACTACTTCTGCCTCCCTCACTCTGGCCCTGCCAGCTTTTCTGTGGTTCCTTAAATACATCAGGCAGGCCCCTTGTTTAGGGGGCCCTCTGTCTAGAAAGCTTTCCAAGTTCAATTTTCTCTCCTATCAGTCCAGGGCACATCTCCTCAGAAAGGGCTTTTCCAACCACCTGTCAAATCCATCACTAGCAATCCCCTAATGGAGATACATTGTTTTTGTCTTAGCGTGTCTCTCTACATGATACTGCTATATATATTTATGTGTTTGTCTCTCTCCCACAAAAACACGAGGGCAGAGACTTGGAGTGACTGCTACGACAGACAGATCATTAAATAGTACCTCCATTGTCACACATGTACCTGGAAAATTAAATATAGTAGAACTGTGTCTACCTTATGAAGAGACGAACAGTCAACTATTAAAAGCAAGTTATTAATTAGCATAGTAAGTGGGATCACAATACTCTGTATCAAACTACCATTATACTACTACAAGACCACTGTAATCAAAATAGCCTTGTACTGGCATAAAAACAGACAAATAAACCAATGAACATAATAGAGCCCAGAAACAAACCCAAGTCTCTATGGTCAATTATTTATTGACCATAAATAATTGGTGTAAATAAAAGAGGAAGAAGCATAAAATGGAGTAAAAATAGCCTCTTCAACAAATGGTCTTGGGAGATCTGGACAACTACATGCAAAAAAATGAAAATCACCAATTTACAGCATACACAAATTCAATGTGGACACCATAAAAGTCCTAAAAGAAAAAAAAAAAACAGGCAGGAAAATCTGACTTTCCATGCAGCAATATTTTCGCCAATATGTCCCCTAGAGTAAGGGACATAAAAGAATAAACAAATGGGAACTTATCAAATTAAAAAGCTTCTGCATGACTAAAGAAAACAGCATCGAAATGAAAAAAGAACCAGCTATATGGGAAAACACTTGCCAATGGTACCTCGGACAACAGTTTGATCTCCAAAATATATAAAGAACTCACGGGACTCCAGGAAGACAGACAACCCAATTTAAAAAATGGGACAGCCGTGGCTGGTATAGCTCAGTGGATTGAGCGCAGGCCTGGGAACCAAACAACTGCAGCTTGATTTCCAGTCAGGGCACATGCCTGGGTTGCAGGCCAGTTTCCAGCAGGGGACGAAAGAGAGGCAACCACACATTCATATTTCTCTCCCTCTCTCCTTCCCTTCCCCTCTAAAGATAAATAAAATCTTGAAAAAAATGGGCCAAAGACTTGAACAGACACTTCTCCAAGGAAGGCATACAGAGGGCCCAGAGGCAAATGAAAAGATGCTCAGCATCACTAGCCATCAGAGATGCAAATTAAAACCACAATGAGATACCACTTCACACCAGTCAGAATGGCCAACATAAACAAACCAACAAACAACGAGGGTTTGTGCACTGTTTGTGGGAATGCAGACTGGTGCAGCCCCTGTGGAAAACAGTATGGAATTTCCCCAAAAAACTAAAAATGGAACTGCCTTTTGACCTGGCAATTCCACTGCCGGATTCATTCTAAGAACCCTAAAACACCAATTCAGAAGAACCTATGCACCCCATTGTTCACAGCAGCACAATTCACAATAGCCAAGTGCTGGAAGCAACCTAAGTGCCCATCAGTAAATGAATGGATCAAAAAACTGTGGTACATTTACACAATAGAATACTACGCAGCAGAAAGAAGGATCTCCTATCCTTCAACACAGCATGGATGGATCCGGAGAGCCTTATGCTAAGTGAAATAAGCCAGGCGGTGAGGAACAAATAACATATGACATCTTTAAATGGAACCTAATCAACAAAAGGAACAATAAACAAAATATAACCAGAGATGTTGAAATTAAGAACAATCTGACAGTAACCAGAGGGGAGGTGGGAGGGGATAAGGGGGGGGGAAGGGTTTTCAGGAACAACTATAAAGGACACATGGACAAAACCAAGGGTTGGGGGTGGAAGCAGGGGAGAGAGGTGGGGATGGCTGGGGTGGGAGGGTGTGGTGAGGGGTAAATGCAGACAACTGTACTTAAATAATGTAATTTTTAAAATATATTAATATATATATTAGCATAGTTACTCTTTCTCGGATAGAACAATCATCTAACAGAAACAGTGCCAGGCACGCAGATGGAGCCTCAACAATGTTAGCGTTTTTGTTACCTTTCTCCCCAGAGGGAATTACACGCAGTGACTGGATTAGTAATCGGTGCACCGTGAGCTGTCAGTTAACGTTGTTGGAAGGAACGGGGCCTCCGTCCTTGTGCAGCGGGTACACTGCTTCTGGAGAAAGGCTCAACCAAATTCATTCTGAGCGTTAAGGGAACAATCAGGCCCGCGCAACAGTACCCTGCCTCCCCAGGGAGGGCTGGGTCCAAACGCATTTACTGATTTTCTCCCACACACTGCATCAAAGCTGCTCAAAGTGCTCAAGTCTCAAGAAGAATAAAAGGAAAAGCCAGAGACGCTGCACGCCCGAAGAAGGAGGAGACCTACCAAACCGGGCTTCCCAGGCGCCCAATAGACAAACTCCAGACTCTCGGGCCGTCACGTGATTAATAACGTCACGTAATGTCACGTGTCGGAGCGGCGGGCCAGCTGCTGCGCAGGCGCAATGAGGTTTTACGCGCCATTTCAAAAATGGCCGCTCAACTGGGCGGTATGTTCTCCGGGCAGCCACCTGGGCCCCCGCCACCCCCGCCGGGACTGCCAGGCCAGGCTTCGCTTCTTCAGGCCGCGCCAGGGGCTCCGAGATCTTCTCCGAGCACCTTGGTGGATGAGTTGGAGTCATCTTTCGAGGTAAAAAGTGAGGGGGCGTTTTTTCCAGCCTTCCTTCTTTCCTGAATTGTAAGCTGCGCACGCGCAGGTTCTCTCTTTCAGTGATCCCGCAGCCGGCTTACAAATGAGGAGACTGGCTCAAAGAATGAGGGAATGCCTTGCTTTAGTCTCCACAGTGAGTGGCGGCCCCCAGTTTACTCTGGCGGCGGAGGCGCGTCAACTTGACGTTTCTGGTGGCGTGTGGGCTTGCAGTTTGCACACCCTCGACTTTGGGACCGTTCCGGGTTCCCAGCCAACTGAGCAGGTCCCAGGCCGTTCTTTTCCCGTCCTTGACCACCTTTTGCCGCATCTCAGTGTTGAGTTCGGCCTCCCCTCCAGAGCCCACCTTTCCGCTGGGCTCCGCTCTTACGGGGTCCTGAAGTCATGGGACTTGGAGCTGAAATGGACTTAAAAGTTGTGCGACCCTTGATACTAAGGGCCGAGGGAAGAGGAAAGCCGGGGCTCAGGGCGGAAGGAGGCAGAGCGGACCCAAAATAGTTTGCCCCAAGGAGTGTAGCCTGTAACTAGGAAGATGGGGAATGATAGTAGGCAAAGGAGAGGTAAAAATAAGGGCATTGGTTGCTTCCCGTGGTCTGTCTGTTTAAAGGGGAAATTGAGCCTTTAGTGTATGGAAATAAAGTAACTGATAATTGGAGTAACCTTTTCAACTTTTAAAATCCTAGTCACATGAGTTTTGTACTGTACCTCTATGATAGCACAGTAGTGCACGGGTAAGTTTGTAAATGAATGTATTATTGGGGATGCATGGTCAGAAATCCTTTGCTGATGAAGTGTACACTCAAAAGTTTGGAGATAACAGACTTAAAACTAACAAACCATAAAGGAGAGGGACAGGTGGGCTTTAGAGCAGCATCTACCATTGAGGTGAGGCAGCTCTCACTCATTAAGGTGCTTGCGGAAAGACTGGCCCTGACCAAATCTGACCCCCAGCACTCTCGTGCTTAAAAATCCTTTGGTCTTACTCTGGCCATGCAAGCCTTTTTCCGCCTGGGCCATTTGATTTCCCTGCACGCTTCCAGGCTCAATCCCCCAACTCACACATGGCTTCCTCAGTGGCCCTTCCCTGGTGCCCTTCAGGGCACTTACACTCACCAGGCCCTGTGAAGTCAGAAGCCATGCTCCCCATGAACCCCACCTTCTCCTCCCAGTTTATCGGTAGTACTAACACAGCTTAGTATATAGGAAATGCTTATGCATGTTGTTAAACTCTAAAGGAGCCTGTTAATGTATCAGGCCCTGCCCTGGGTGCTAAGGACACAAAACCAGCCCTAGTTTCTGAGGAGCAAGGGACAGCACAGTGTGGGGGAGCAGATAAAAATGGCAGGCAGTTGCTGGGCTGTGGGATCGGTGCTGTGATCGAAAAAGCCTGGGACTCTGTAAGGGCGTGGCTGTCCAGAGAAATGAATCCCAAACACGCATTGGGATTTAGTGGCCATGTGGGGGTGGGAGATGCTGCTCAGACCCCCTCTGGTGCTGGGCGAGCATTCCCTAGTCGTCTGTCGAGACGCAGCTCCCAGGCCACATGTTCATGTCCTGTTCCCTTTCTTCATTCTGTGTGGGCCTCCCACAACCTCTGGTGGCACCTGCCCGCCCACTGTTCATTTCTCTTTTGGTGCCACCCACGAGGTCTCTGACTTGCTCGTTCTGGTTGCTTCATAAATGCTCTTTGGTGGAATGAGCTTACCGTGGTCCCACACTCTTGTGGGAGGGAGCCTTGAAGAGCATCCTGTCCTTTTACAGATGGAGAAACAGAGGCTCGGAGAGGGAGGAGAGCTCACCAACCCTCAGTGTGTGGGAACGAGCCCAGCATTTGAGCCTCCCGACTCTCCAGGCAGAGGCTCTAAAAACCTTATTCTTCCTGTGGACCACCACGCGTTTTCTCCGTGCACCCACCTAACTCTCTACAAAGGTGTATGTGTTTAATTTTTTTTAAGGGGGAGATGAGGATACTAAAATTCCCCATACCCGGTCTCCTCCCACCCTGCCTGCTGGCCCACTGGCTCTGGCGGAGCAGCCCAGCTGTGTTGGCCAGTGTGTGGCTGGTGGGCCTCCTGGGTGGGATGTTGTCCAGCAGCCACAGGATTCACGGAGCAGGGCTGCCCGCCTTATACCCCACATCCAACAGGAGCCACTTTATAGACTGTTTAACAGTATGGGAAGCCTGTGTTTCCTGACATATGAAGTAGTTGCAGGGATTGCAACTACTGGGGAATCCTGTGGTTTTTCAGGATAAATGAAATGGTGGCAGCTGTAGGCAGGAGGGCCCTCAAACCTAGGCGATGGCCCGACTGGGGCCCAGATCTACTTGCCTCGTGCCTGGTGCGGTTTGCCCACTGCCGGCTCCGCTTTCCCGAGGTGTGAGGTTTCCTCTCTGACCCTCTCCCCCAGCTTCCATCCCGTCCTCTTTCTGGCCCCACTGCCCTTTGTTGTGTTAGGCCTTCTTGTTTGTAGAACCCCCCCCCTCCCCAACTGAGTCACATATATACCTGGATCACTGTCCCTTTAGAGAGGACTCCCTCTCTGGGACTTGTTTATCCACATGACACCTACCACCTTCTCTTGGGCCATCCAGTCAGTTACCAGGGTGTGTTTATTGAGCAGCCAGTCTGTGCCAAGCAGTGTTCCTGCACTAGGCGCAGAACGAACAGGCAAACTTCCCACCTGCTAGTAGGTGATAATGGACTGAAAGAGTGGAATGATGTCAGTTACGTGTGCAAAACCACAAAGCTTGGTGTGGGCATAGAGCACAAGCAGGAGGGGTACCATCTCAAAGGAGCAGAGAGCGACGGTCTCTCTGAGCGGGTGATGACTGGCCGGAGACCTGACCAGGTGGCACAAGGTGGGGGTGCTGGCAGTACCAGCTGCCTCGCTCCCTGTTCTTCCTCCGTGGGCCTCGTGGAGTCGGTCGCCAGGTTTCTTCACTGGCGTGACGTCTGGGGTGCAGACCCAGATACTGTCGACGCATTGAATGACTTCAAGAGAAGTTACTTCTTATCCCGAAGTAAGATTTTTGGCATGCAAGTGACATTTTTTTTCTTTTGTGATCTGTTTTCATGAAACAGGCTTGCTTTGCTTCTCTGGTGAGTCAGGACTATGTGAATGGCACGGATCAGGAAGAAATTCGAACTGGTAAGAATTCCATTTTTTTAGACAGGGTTCTTGCCTTGAGCAAGATTCCCACTTGCACCTGATACATTTCAGTCCTGCTTGTATTCCGAGAGAACTGTCCTGGGGGGTAAGATCCCTGCAGATCAGGTCTCCACGCTGTTGGTTCTCTTGGGTTGGTTAATTGACATCTTACACCATTCATGATGAACCACTTCTGATGAACCTTTCATAGCAGTGTTAGAACAAGGGAGACCGATAGGGTGTGTGTACTGCTTTTCAAAATAAGTTTTGGTTGTTTCTTGAATAGGTTGTAACAGTCTCTTATGCTTCCTCCTCCTTGCCCAAGTTCTATCCTCGGAGGTGACCAGCACTTTTGATTTCATTGTACTTTGTTTTCAGTGTTACATTTTAGTTGAGATCTTGTTACTTGCTGGAATTCGATTGTCTTTTTTCAGAAGAACTTGGTGTAGTGAGGTCTCGCTTTCACCTGATACAAGTACAGATTATTTGCTGTCTAATGCTGGTGAACACGTGGAGCCTGGGGTCAGAGTCCCAGATCACATCTGTGAGGAAGTGCGGTTGTGATAGTTGGACTGTTCACGTACGAAGGAGAGAGATGTTTGTGTCTAGGGTTTTTCTTGATTTAATGTTTTGTGTTTTTTTTTAAAGGTGTCGATCAGTGTATCCAGAAATTTCTGGATATTGCAAGACAGACAGAATGTTTTTTTCTACAGAAAAGGCTGCAGTTATCTGTCCAGAAACCAGAGCAGGTTATCAAAGAGGTATGAGCTCCCCTTTCTCCTCAGCTTTCAGAAGAGCCCATGTCGGCAGGGTTCCGTCTGTGCTTTAAATGGTTTTCAGTGAAAGCCCTTCCTTCTCCTGTTACGGTTGGGCGGTGTGGATTGGGACAGAACGTCGCTAGTTGTCCGCGTTTATGACGACCTGGTCACGCAGCGGAGGCATGGGTGGTGGCCGAAGCAGGCTCCAACGGCAGTTCCACGTGCTGGCTTTCATGGAAGGTTTTTCTCAGAGGAAGGGTTCCACTGCTTGAAAAGCATTGAAAAGCCATTAGTGTAGGTGATAAGCTCATTCCGGACAGGAACCAGGACCCGCGTCTCCCAGTCGCCTTACCCAGTGCTGTATACACCGGAAGGGCTTCATCGACTTTGTTCAAGGAATCGAAGTTCATGTTCTGTCCCAGGCTCCTTGAAGCTCAGGATTTCCTTTCTCTCAGTCCTTTGCAACCCAGACATTTGGAAGTGTGTTGGGGTTGCCAGGACGACGAGAGGCTTCAGGGGCATTTACCAAGTGAGGCCAGGCCTGTGCCTGCATGTGGAAGAGGGAAGAAGCATCCACCCAAAAGGCCGGTGGTGCCACTGCTGAGAAACACGAGACTGAGATGATGGTTTGGGGCCAGTTTTTGCAGTAACTACTCCCACAAGCTGACCAGTGTAAAAGTTCTTCTTCTTCAGTGATGTCAGCCAGGGAGAAGGTGAATGAATGGTGGGAAGGTGGTATTCACACGGTTCATCCTGTCAGATCACGTCCTGGTTTGAATGCCTGAGCAGTAACATAGGTGTGCTCAGGGCAGGTCTTGATAAAGAATTACAGTACTGGTGTTCATTTAAAAAGCTCTTGAAAGTGAGGTCTTAACACTTCATAGTCTGAACCGTTAGGACAGTGGGTGTGGGTGCTTGTACATATTTGTCACGTGCGTTTCAGATTCCCACTAGTTTGGGTCCTCAGCAGTGGCCTTGGACGAGATGTGGACGCAGTGCCTGGGGCAGGGTGGGAGGGAGACGGGTTTCGGTTTCTTTTGGCTGCTCTTGGGTACTTTGGAATGTCGGAACTTGAGCACTTACTAAAAGAAAGTGAATTAAAATGAAAGTTCTCAGTTTTAGGCAGATGTCTGCCATTGGAGGAGTTGCATTGGCTTATTCAAATAGTGGAGCCAAGCAGATTAATGGGCTTAGAATGGTGTAGTAGATTTTGTTTTGAATTTACTTCTTAGTGTTCTTAGTTATTCAGGAACTGTATTCACTTTCCATGAGTTTGCTGTGACTTGACCGCCTTCATTTGCAGGATGTCTCAGAGCTGAGGAATGAATTACAGCGGAAAGATGCTCTGGTCCAGAAGCACCTGACAAAGCTGCGGCATTGGCAGCAGGTGCTGGAGGACATCAACGGGCAGCACAAGAAGCCGGCTGACATCCCCCAGGGCTCCTTGGCCTACCTGGAGCAGGCGTCTGCCAACATCCCTGCGCCCATGAAGCAGACCTGAGGCAGAGCCGGCTGCAGAGTGAGCTGGCGTGGGAGTCCGCACACACAGGGTTCTTCGTGCCGGGCCTCACGTCTGGGCGGTGTGGCGTCTGGGAAGAACGCTGCCAAAGGGTGAGGTGCCTGGTTGCATGCCGTCAGTAAGGTTTTCCCCCGTTTGTATAAGCTCTTATTTTTATATTACTCCATAAAACGCCGATAGCTTTTGTAAAGCTGGTAAATGTTTTTGTTTTTAGCAAGTTAGTATGATGCTACCGACATTCCTTTTTGTTCTTTTTTCTTTTTTTTTATTCTTTTAATTCTTGTGTTTAACCTTTAATCTCTGTGTTACCAGTTTTAGATGAACTTGTATCATGTGAGGAGAAAACTGTATGATATAATCTGTGAATCAGAGACTGAGGATTGGGGTTATTAGTCTTTTGTGTTAATTACCACTCTACCTTTGTGCTAGTTTGGAAAACTACGTAAGTTTGCCAAGGGTGTCTTAAGGCTTTGAACTACCTCAAGAGGAGGTATCTAGTGCAGCTATGTTTGCAATGCTTCCAGAGCTCCTGGGACGGGGGTGTTTTATAAATGGAGGGGGGGTGCGGTGGCCTAAGTTAGGGTAGCCACACTGCAGTGGGGTCTTTGAGTCGATGTTGACTTCTCTTTGGGCTAAGTTTATATTTTGTGTCTTACTTACTTTGGGCGGTGTCGGAGCTGTGATATGCTGATTATTTTTCTGTTCTGCAGTGATGAATCCGTTTACGTCACAGACCCACCCTGCCCTCAGTAACGCGACCTAGGCAGAGGGGAAGTGTGAGGGTTAGAGCTCACTGTGATACTCTCTTTCCGTTTGGGTTTTGTTAGCTGGTGTCATTTGTGTTTTACTTTTTAGGAGCAGAAGTTTCCCATTAAGGAAGGTTCTTGCTAATGAATGGCAGTGATTCCAAGGGCCAGGGCCTTGGGGTGGGCAGTGGCCTGCAACGTGGCCTCGAGTGGCTTACTGTCCACAAAGAGCATGTTTGGGAAGGTGTTTTAGCTTCTTGCTGGTCACACAGGGCAAACACGATTCTTCACTCACCTGCTACTGTGTCTGGCTCTCCCTGAAGCGGCTTTAGTCCCTGCCTGAATTACACGCCTTTACACTCCCCTGTCTGTTGAACAAGCAGTACCTCTGGGGCTTGGATTCTTGGCTCATTTTGTTTTCTCCAGCCTTGGAGACCCCTCCCCACACACATCAACTCATGATGTGGTCTGGCCTGGCTGCTGCCTGGTCCCTGATGCTCCCAGATGCTCTCCGCGGCACCCCAGGACACAGGGTCCTGTCTCCTACCAACCTCGCACGGTGCTCCCTCCAGGGTTAGTCATTTGCATCCGTCTCTGTGCCCTTCATGGGAATTAAGCATTATTTTCCCTTGAATACATCGGGATTGTTGTTTTCTACCTAGAGTGTTACGTGTGTGTGTGTGTGTGTGTGTGTGTGTCACAGGTTGAAGCCCCAAACTCCCTCAATTCTTAAGCTTTTAAGAATTGTTTTTTCTCACATTATGACTTCAAGGTTGTTAACCTGGTCATCTCACACTAATTACAAGCTTGATTGGCAGCTTTAGATTTCTTCATTAAAAACCTAAATAAACTGATTAAGTTTTAGGCATCTTTCAATAATTAGGTTCTTGGTGTTTCACTTGGTGCTTAGTGAAAATAGTTTGAATTAATGTATGTATCAGTTACTGCCATTGTTTATTAAATCAAAAAATCTGGGAAATAAATATTTTTAATCTTGTCTGTCTGTAAATATCTCTTAACTTTTAATGACATCTTGCTGGTTGAAGATCGTAGGAAACCTTCCTGCAGTGGGAAAAATCACAAGAAAACATCTGGAATTTCCCTCATCTTCTCAGTCCCATTACGGCATCTTTTTACCTGCGAGGATTGGCCCCAGCCCGGTTTCTTACTCTTGAGCACTGCCCCTTGTCAGCAGTCTGCAGCTCCTCCCCTCCCTGCCCGTCATCTGCAGACTCCACCCTCTCCCCTCCGCTCCTTTCTACTCCAGGCTGCCATCTCTCCCTCCTGTTTGACCACCACTGTGCTGGTGACTGCTGCCAGTCACTTCACTGTGGCCATATTGAATGGACACTTAACCTTTACTTGAACTCATTCTCCTGCAGGGGGTGAGCAGACTGCTGAGTAGCTCCTAGGAGGAGGTTGATCAAAATAATACATCCTGGTGGTGATGAGGATCAATGAGTATGGGGATCAATTAGTATTGCCCTTAGAAACCTTAGGAAGGTTGAGGGGAGGCTGTTCCTATCCTAGCTCCATCTAATCTGCAGAACCCAGATGGATCCTGGAGGTGGAGTGTAGACCATTCCAACAGCTGCAGCCACACCTGCTCTGGTGGAATTTGCATCAGTGTCACATCAGTCAACGAGGGCGCAGGTGCACGGCACGTAGTGGCCGTTCATTTCCCTTCATCGCTGCTGTTCCCTCCCCAGCAGCACCACCATCCCATGGCCACTCTGGGCTCAGGAGACTGGTGCAGTAAGTTACGCAAGGTAAACCAAGGAGAGTGTTTATCTCAAACCGGATTTCTTAATCTTATCTAGGGTGCAGAAAGGGATGTCCTTCACTGCTCAAGGTGTAAATTGCTAGAAACCCTCCAGATGGGAAATTTGGTCTTATCAAAGAAAAAGCTCTATTCCAGTGCTCAAATAATAATACATCCTACAGAAAACATGGTGGACACATACAAAGACGTAATGACTGGGTGGAATCTAGACATTTACAAGATCTTTCACTCACCTGCAACAGGGAAGGAGTCCAAACAGACGCAGAGTGTGGATCCCATTCTCCATCAGCAGCTGTTACCGCGAGCCGCGGGACAGCAGAATGCGGCGAGGCCTGCTTTGGTAGGCACGAGGGGTAGCTGGTTGTGGGAAAATGTCTCGACGAATAAAAGCACAATAGAACTGCCTGTCTGCAGTCTTTAAAACACCAAATACGGGCGCAATCACAAGGCTTGCTCTAAGCAGGAGACAGACAACTAAAAAATACTTGACACTGGAAAACTACAGCATATTACATGTACGGTAACAAGTATTTGCATTTTAAAAAGTATCATGTTGGGGCCACGTGTTTTCGATTTGACAGTAAACTTACCTTTCAATTACGCGTTTCGAGCTGTAACTGCATTTCTCTCAAAATGACATGAGCATGTAAGCAGCCACTTTTCATTTGAAGATCTGAGTGCCGTCACTGTGAAGTTACTATTTCCAAGGTCAGTTGTCATCTAATTTCACCCTTTGGAAAATCAACACAAGTCACAACCATTTTTATCACCCAGGTGTTTAAAAGTTTTATTCAAAGAGCAAAGACCTGACAATGCATAGAATACAGGGCGGTTTGTGGGCCACCTGGCTGGGCCAGCACCAAAGGACCCAGAGCATCGTTCGCCCCTTCAGAGATGAATCAAGCCGCGTCCAATCGCACTGCTCCCTCAGAGGCTCAGATAGTGGTGAGGTGACCTCAGAGGTGAGGTCAGCACCATGCAGGGCCACTCCCACTTCCCAAAGGTTCAGTAGATCTTTGACTTGAAAGAACAGATAATCTCGAAACCTTCACAAATGGTAAACTGATGATGCTGCAGTCACTAAAACTGAGGTGTGGACGGGGTAGGGCTGGTTATTCACGGAAAATCCTGGCAGTGCCTGGCCAGGATCTTCGCCCAGGTCGTTTTGCTTAATCCTCATGAAGCCCCACGTTGAGGTAGGTGTTATCCTCTTGATTATCGACTCCGGGTCCTGGATTGGAAAGTCAAAGTACTTAATCCAAGTACGTCAAGGTCTTGATTTGCTTGTTTTGTTTTTTAGTTGGCTTTCCTGGTTATTTGGAACTTCGTTTTATTCATCTTCTTACTGAGGTTGGATATGCATTTTGAATGGTATCACTTACACAAAAACAGTTTTCAGTCCATTTGCTTTGCATCCTCAGGGGAAATGAGGTCGCTTTCAAAGTAGACTATGGCTAGCATTGTGTGGAGGGTGATCTCAGAGACACCGGCATACGGTGGCGAGGCCATTAGTGACATTAATAACACCTTCGTACGATGCTTTTGGACAACACTAGTTCGTTTTATCCTAAGGTCAAGAATCTTGTAATGAACTGGTGTCACAATGAAACAGTATGAAATGTCAAGGCCAAAATCTGCTTTAGCCATTGTGTGCAAACCATGTTACAAAGCAAGGTATTTGGTTGATTGTTTTTTTCAGTTCATTCTCTCCATCAGACGTTTTAAATGTTTTTCAAACGTCCCCTTTGTGATGGATCCCAAGGATCAATTTAGAAAGAGAAATACTTGGTGAACCACTCCTGGTGGGCAGAGCCCTGTTTCTGCGGGACTTCCTTGGGCGGGGCCGTTTCGTCATCCTGTGTCCTACAAACACAAGCAGAAAGGTTCACATGGTTTCAAAAATTACTTAATAAACCATTTCATGCCCCACCCTCTTTTCAGGGAAAAATAACTGCTTCTTTACGCTTCCAAACATACTGGAGAATGACCGCCAACGTCAGGATCTGCAAACCAGGGGTGAAGGACGGGTGGGGAGGGGACGTCTGATTCCTGTTTTGAAAATGGAAGTTTTTCTATTGTTTCACTTAAGACAGTGAGGTGTATTTGCAAAATTTATTTCAGGCACAAATTGAATTATAAAGAAGATACAAAAAAAGGTAAAAGGTGCATTTGAGGTCTTGCTCCCCAGCACACGTTGTCAGTTTGGCTCAAATAAACTCTTACAAGGAACAACAACAACAAAAAAAGGCAAGAGAAATGGTTGATTGACACAGCGTTACAATTTAAAAGTTATTTACTGTGTTCTAGCATCACAATGAGGCTATAAAATTAGCGAAATAAATGGGAAAAGGGGAACAGTAAGCAAGAAAGTATGGCGTGCACCTGGCTGAATGGTCTCTTATCTGCCCTGCTGGAGCTCTGTGTAAAACAGTGGGAAGGCAGCTGTAAACAGGAATATACGAGTACAGAGGAACCCCTGAGCCGGCTCCAGCAGTTAACTCGGATGTGCTGGGCACCCCGGCCTCAGACGTCTCAGCTGCGAAGCCAAGGGCTGGGCTCCTGTGACTAACTGCCAGGGGTCCCTGCAGCTCAGTGCTTGTGAAGATCTGCGCCTGTGCCGCCCCACTTGCCCAAAGAGCCACGGGTAGGCGGGGCCTCAGGAAAAAGAATGTTTTAGCAGCGGCCCTCTCTGAAATGCGAACTCACAGCCAAAATGTAAACTTGTACCTCTAAGTAAAGACTGGATGAGAGGGGGGAACTAGTGAAAGGGAAAAGCACTGCTGTGGAAGAGAGGCGTGCTGCAAGGCTTTCCGGAGGAGTAAGAAGGCGGAATCTGACATCGTCATGCGTGACCACCCCCCCCCCCCATCAAGAGGCCTCAAAATGCCAAGAGGATGCAATAAATCTTGAAAAATACCCTTAATGGCAATAGTGGAAATATACTAACTGCTTCTATGCCAGGTCCCGTGTTGAGCACATCCTATGAGTTAATTCCTTTAACCTGTCACATCAGCCTGATGAAGTAGGTGCTGTATTAGCTTTGCTTTAGAGGCAAGGGAATGGAGACTCAGAGAGGTCAAGTAACCTGCCCAAGGCTACACAGCTCCAAGTGAAAACTAGAACTTGAATCCAGATCCCAAGGCCATACTTAAGTTGTCAGCTAGGTGATTTCAATGTCCCTTGTTTTAATCAACCATGGGAGGGGGAAAAAAAAAAAAAAGGCTTTCTGGAATTTGGTACCAGGAATAGTCCCTCTTCTAAAGGATGGCGTATTTCTCTGCTTTTCCACAATCTTCCCATTTGGTTGGGCTGTAATTTTCCCAAGGCAGGACCCAATGTGCAACTCTTTATATTGGCCCCAAAGCTGGCCATGGAACAGGTGCCAGATCGGAATCCCAGGCCCCCCCGCCCGCCCTGCCCCCCCCCCCCCCATTATGGGAAATTGGCGTCGCAGCCTCTGCTCCCTACCTTGTGGCAGTTTTCACGTCCGGAGACTGGGTGGGTTTGTAGGGCTGGCCCCCACTGGGGCCCGGGTCCAAGCTGGGTGACTTGGTGATTGGCGGGGCGTGGATCCTCGAGCTCAGATCCCCACTCAGAAAGTTCTTTGCGTAGGAGGCGAGGTTTGGCACGCTGACCACTCGGCTGGGCACTTCCTCCATCTTCTTTTTCTGCTTGTGTTCAAGGAAAGGCCTCTTAGCGTCGCCCAGAAGGCACTGCGGTAACAGCAAACCACGTCTACCACCCAGAACTGTGGCAGGGAGGAGGCGATGCTCTTATTTACACAATTCCATGTTTTTCTTTAAAGCACGTTTCCCTCTAATCTATTTTGTGTTTTAGAAAACACAGATGGTCACACTTCTCTAAATTTCCGTTTTGCAATTCAGAATCTCTTTGTAGGTTTTAAAAGGCCACACAGCACCCAGGACCCGTCCTGTCCACAAATGCGTGTTTCTGAAATGAAACTTGCATTTTCTCACACTGGGAGGGACACGTAAAAGATGATAAATAACTTCTCATCTGTTCAGCTCAGGTTTATTATTCTGTGAGCTATAAAAAAACACAACTTTTTAAGTGCTTTTAGGATTTGTGAGAACAGATGAGAGATTTGTATGTGAATATTCTCATTGTAACGAATTCCAAAATATCTAAGGAAAAAGTTAAGAAGTGGAAGATTGCTTCTGCTCTTCTCTCTCTCCTTCCCACCATCAATTGCTATTATAGCCACTATTACTAGTGACACATTTACTTATCAAATACTGGGGGAATACAAAAATATCCATAAAAAACCCCCACAAAACACATCATCTTCCTAGCCAAATAAAAACACTGTTTAGTCATTTGGACTATTTTTTGTGGGTCTTATTTTCCATGAGTTTCCCTTTGAATGTATCCCAGCCACTGATGAATAGGCTGTGGTTATTGTAGGAAAAATGAAACCAGTAGAATCGTGCAATGCACTGGAACTGGAAGAACCAATGTACCTTCATGGAAGGGGTCAGATACCCCGGGTGAGGATTGAAAGAGAAGGACCGATTCCGATGCGACATGGCGCTGGGGAGCGCTGCGTAGTGAAATCTTCTCTCCTCCTGGAAAAACAGTCCAGCTGAGCCTCATGAGCCCAGCCACACAGCCCTGGATTAGCTGCTGCTCGGGGGTGGAATACAAAGACAGGGCAATTCCAGGGGTTGGGGTTGGGCCAGGGCAGCAGGGAGTGGGGCAAAGTGTGGGGGGCCCTGGGCGGCCAGTGGGAGTCAAGCTGCCACCTGTCCAAGCTTTGAGGAAGCACATTTACTCCTGGGGTCTTTGTGTCCCCAGCCCCTTTTGTAACAAAGCAAAGAACAAGCTTATTCGGAATGCCTTAAGGGAAGTTAGAAATCCGTGTCCTCAGCATCTGAGAAGAGTCTACTGAAGAAAGTAATCAAGGTGTAGAAAGTTAATAATTGAGGCAAAGAAAGGAGACCAGGGACAATCTTGTTAATATGTGCCATCCTCCACATTTTTCTTTCCTTCTGTGTTGTGTTTAGAGCAAATTCCAGTCATTGTACATTTTCATCTGTAAAAACATCAATATACGGCTCTAAGAGAAAAGGACTCTTCAAAAATAAAACCACGGGGGGGGGATGGGAGTAAAAAGCAGAAAACTATACTTGAAGAACAATTTAAAAAAATGAAGTAAAACCATAATATCTTCGTCACACTTAGCAAATGAAGACTCCTTATTAGTATCATAATTTTCGGTGAGTGGTAAAGTTTTCCCGATGGTCTCATTAACGTCTCGAGAAGAAAGCAGGGGGCGGGGCTGGGAGACGAGACACAGGCGAGGCCCTGCCAGCCACCGAAGGTCGTGGGTTCTACTCTGAAAGGGCCGGGAAGCCTCGGGAGGTGCAGGACAGAGCAGGCTGTGACCCAATATTTTCATAGGACCCCTCTGGTAGCTCTGAGGTTACCCCTCTGGTGGGGTGAGGCTCAAGTAAAGGGGAGACCAGTGGACTCTCCACTGTGCAGCCTTGGATCAGGGCTGCGGAGGTGGATGGCGGGAAGCGCCTGGACGTCTGATGGGGCTGACGAGCTCTCTCCCGCCGGCCACACTGACAGGAGTGACTCTATATGACCCCTGTCCCCAGAGTTGATTGTGAGGCGTTGGAAACTGTCCAGTGGAACAGCATGGAACACAGCGAGGCTGGGTTAGAGCCTGAAGCAATGGTCAAAGTATAAGGGGACATCAGCGTGTGGCCCGTGGACTGTGTGGATTGGCAGGAGTGGGTGGGGGAGGGGCGTTTCAAAGAATGACCTGGGGGGCGCTGTCCAGGGGGTGGCTTTGCCAACAGGAAAATTAGTGGTCATGTTTACAGAAGGAAGATCACTAAAGAATAACTGTCTTGCTTGAATCCATTAAGATTCAGTCAGAAGGTGAACCATTCTAGGTCTTCCTAAATCTGTTGGTTAAAAAAACCAAGTCAGTACCAGTACTGGGGAGATGCTGTGGGGCTTGGGAGTAGAGGGGCTTGTTTGCTTTCTATGTTCCTGTGTTACTTTTCTTTAGTGAGTATGTATTCTTTATACAATAGAAAAAATAACCGAGGGTCTTTTCTAAGGTAGTTTTATGCTTATCAGGATTACTGGAGGAACCAGTAGCATGTCGGGTGCCCACTCCCCACACCAGCGGCCCCGCCAGCCCCGCCAGCCCCACCGTGAGCTGCTTGATGATCTCCTCTCTCTCCTTCAAGCGGGTCCGCAGGCGGCCTATGAGCTGCGCGTCCTCCGGCCTGGGCGCCCCCTTCCCTGGCTTCTCTCCGGACTCTTTCAGTCTGTTTCAAGCAGACAAGCCGTTAGCCCCTCACCGCACTCAGCCGCGAGCAGGGAGACGAGGTGATGATGGGGAAGAGACGCCCCTGCGTGGTCAGCCTGGCCAGCCACTCTCTTGGTTCACAAAAGGGGAAACTGAGGCCCAGAGAGCTTGTCCAAGGCCACCCAGACAGTTGGCTGCAGAGCTTGGGGTGGAGCCCAGGCCCCCACCCCCCACTGTGACCTTTGTCAGTTCCCCGATGACTTATGGCCCAGGAAACAACAGCTTGTGTGTGCATGCAGATGCTGCACCCAGTGGGGTCAAGAACCAGGGATGTTCTGGAGAAGAGGCCTCAGCAGCCAATGCCCACAGGCTCTGCAGATACAGACGTGGCTCTGGCGCCATCTGCTGGCCTACATAACGTTTGGCAGGCACTAGTTCCTGGGCAGATCTGCGAGGGCTGAGCAGGGAGGGCAGGTGGTAGGTACCCAGGGCCCTTTCAGCGAGTAGCTGGAGAAAGAACTCCCGGAGTGGTGGGTGAGAGGGAGAGTTAGGACTGCAGATGACCTACGGCTGCCACACTGCCACTGATAGGAGACTAGGAGTTTGAGTTGGAGGCTAGGTCAGATGAGTTGGGCTCTAATCCCACCTCTGCTTTTTCCTAGCTGTGACCTTGGGTGTGGCATTCCACCTGTGACCTTCTGTTGCGCCTTTAAAATGGGCGTGAAAATGGTGGTTGTGAAGATTCAATGAGATAATGGGTGCCTGGCACGTGGTAAGTATGCACGAAAGAGGAGATAATAAAAGCTTCCACTCCAGGTTTTGGATGATTCGCTTTGTGTTAGAGAGAGTGGACACTTTTTAAGAGTTCAAGCTAAGGGTCAGACAGGTGATATTTAAATTCACTTAGTTCTGCTTTGAGCTGGTCTCGCTGACGCTAACTCCAATCCTCCAGTCTCTTAGCAGCCAGGTGGACCCCATCAAATAATAGATCAGACTGTCACTTCAGCTCGGGGCCTTGCTATGGCCTCCTGGTGCTTTACCTCCCAACTGCTGCCCGTTCACTGTAAGACTTCTCCCCTCCCTCCGAGTCATACTCACTCTCTCCCACGTTCCACGTAAGCCACATGAGCCTTCAGGCTGTTCAGTCTTGTGAAGCAGGCCCCAGGGCCTTTGCACTTACTGTTCTGTTTGAGACGCCCTCTCTCCAGGTGGCTCTCTCACTCCCTTGGCTCCTTGTGCATAAATGTCACCAAGAAGCCCTCCTTGCCCACCCTTGCCACTCTCTAGAAATAGATCCTATTTTTCTTCCTGCACACTTTCACTACCTGATATCAAATTATTTGTTTCCTCGTTTCTTGTCAGAATCGCCATGAGAACTTGTGAGTTCCATGAGAGCGCAGTCTTTGTGTTGTTCTCTACGGCAACCCAGAGCCAAAAACAGTGAGCCCTCAGTAAACGTTTGCTGAATGGGTAGGTAAACACACATACACTGGCCTAAGGGACCCTTGGTGGTGCTGACTGCCCACAGCAATACCAACTTCCACCTTAGAGGACAGCCGAAGGTTAAATGAGATGCTGCACATTAGAAGAGGGCCAATGCTAATAAAAAGGTAGCCTTGATCCTTCTGATTTCTTCCCTGGGGGTGGGGGGAGAACCATGCCCAAGAGGCAGTTGCATTCCTCACAGATTCCCAGGGCCTGCACGAAAGGGGACAGCAGTGTCACAGTATGGCAGGTGACCAACCATACCAGTTTGTCTGGGACTGAGGAGCTTCCTGGAACTCAGGTCTTCTAGTTATAAAACCGGCAGGGTCCCAGGAACACAGATAAGTCATTCACCTCAGAAAACGGTATATCTACTCGTCTCTCCTCACTTGGGGCCGGGGCCTCACTTACTCGGTTTCCAGGGCAGCCAGCCGGGCCTGGAGCCGGGCTTGGGCGCTGCTGAAGTCTGCCACCAGGGCCTGCATCTCCTTCCGGTGCTCCTGGCGCAGAGTCTCCACCTCCCGGGCCCGCTGAGCTTGCTGGTCCTCCTCCAGCTGCCTGTGGGGGGACAGAAGCACAGCTAGGCTTGCCTGGGCTCTGGGGACCCACCTTCTGGGCACTGGGATGTCTCCTCACTCTACTGGGTGGCCGTGTTTGGAGATAATGGGTGAGGGAAGGTTATGAATCGGAGGTCAGAACATGGTGGGAAGGAGACCCGGGGTGTCTGAGTTGTGAGGTCCCCGATGAGCCTTGCTGGTGGGACCCCTTCTCAGCACCTCTCACTCCAGCATTCCACGAGGGAGAAAACTTCACTGCTTGAAGAGCAGCCCCTCGGGGGAGGAATAGAAGCTCCGGAGGGGAGTCTGGGGACACACTCCCTTCACCTGGGGCAGGTGGGAGAGGTGGAGACAGAGTCTGTAGCAGGATCACTGAAAGTTGGGACCCTGAGATGGGGCAGGGTGGGCAGGTTAGGAGAGCAGCGTTTGAGCCAGGCTGCCACCTCTGTCCTTGGCCTGCCCTGTCACTTCCTAGCTGTGTGACTTTGGGCAAGGTATGCCCTGCTTAGCTTCCTCTTTTAGGCGGAGGTGACAACAGTGTCTGCCTCGCAGCCTTACTGCAAGGAAGCTCGTGTTCATACATGTCCAGGACAGTCCGCAGCACACAGTGTGTGTCCAACCATCAGCTGTCATTTGTCAGAGTCCAGGTGTGGGGCCTCAGCGACCCACAGACAAGTGTCGGGGTGTGTCACCCTCAGAGAGTTAGCCATATAGATAGATAGATATCATCTCACCCAGGGCCATGTTTACTGATTTTAGAGGGAAAGCAGGAAGAGGGAGGGAGGGAGAGACTCGGTTGGTTGCCTCCTGAATGCATCTGGACCAGGGATGGACTCTGCAACCTTCTTGGTGTTCAGGGCGATGCCCCAACCAGCGGAACCACCCAGCCAGGGCAAGTGCTTTGCATATTTTTGTGTGATTGTTCCTTCTCCCCCGAGAGGGACCGTTGCTTTTCTGAACTGGAGGGGGCTGTAACCCAAATGGTTAGGAGTCCCCACCCTGGTCCATGTCCTTATTCCAGTGTCGCCCGCCTGGCCAGTCCCTGACTGAATCTGAGGTCTCCACCTCGGCCAGGCGGGCTGCTTCTTACGTGAACCTTTCACTAGAACAGCTACTTTCACTTGAACAGCTGAGATAAAACGGACACAGTCTTGGGAGATGGGAACTACCAAAGCTCAGTCAACAAGAAACAGCCCGAAAAGTCCTGTACCTACTAATGACATTAAAATTGTAGTTGTGACCTTTCCAAGAAGTGGGGGGAAGGAGCAAGGCTGTGGAGTCAGGACTGATCGTGAGCTGCCCGGCCTGGATTAGGTAACAGTGACCCCAGCGCTTCCTCCGGGCCAGGGGTCACTTCCCTGCGCCAGAACGCAGCCGCTCCGGGTGGTACTGTCCCCACTTTGCAGAAGACAGTCTTGGAGAGGGTAGTTGCCGCCCCACTTCACTGGCTAAAGGTACACAGCATTGTCTCTTCGAGGCTATTTTTGAGGATTCTTTCGGTGTCATTTGGCCTGATGCCATAAATTCCCTGATTTGTATTGAAACTGGGTTTCCGCTTCTATTTCTTGACCACTCGCCTGCAGTTTTGACCTCGACTTCCTAGATACTTTTCCTGCGACCAGGGAGTAACCTCAGTGAAGTGCTAGCATGTCAGGGAGTCTTTTCTCTGGGAAGGTGCCCAGGGGAGGCACGTTTTAGATCTCAGGGGCTCATCGCGCGGTGGTGCAGCAAGGGGAAGGAGGGGGAAAGTTCTGGGATCCCGCAGACCCACCTGCTCTGGTCGTGGAGCCGCAGCGCCTCCTGCTGGTGCTGCTCCACCTCCTCCCGCAGCTGCCGCACTGTGTCCTTGAGCTGCGAGTTCTCCCGGAGGAGGCCCCCGTCGCTGCTGGGAGAAGGCTCAGCGGCGCCCTTCGGGGAGCCAGTCGGGCTCGGGCCGCGCCCCTCCTGGAAAGAAGGTAGCCAGGAGCGGTGTTTTCAGGAGGCGCAAAGGGCCCCAGGTGTGCGCCGCCCACGCCGGAGCCGGAGCCGCAGCCGCAGCCGCAGGAGGGAGCCACCGAAGGCCGCATGCACGGGCACTTCAGAGGAATACCTGACCCAGGGCCGCGGGCTGGGGCACAGAGGTCAGGGCTGTGAGGTCGGGCTGCTGCCCGGCTAGGTAGGAATGATGGATGTGCAAGGAAGGGGCCAACGGGCCCAGTCCGACCCGGAAGTTCAAGGAGTGGGGCCTTGAGCTCCGGCGACAAGGCCGCCCCGACTCCTGGGAACGGGGAGGCCGACACAGGGGAGGACTCGGACAGTCTCCTGCGGATCTGAAGCAGTGACCTGGTCTGGCTGTCTCTGAGCCCTGTCTGGTACCAACACCCTGCGATGCTGTTGTGTCCAAATTAAAAAGAACATGTAGAACTTAAAACCTGGGTTTTCTTTACAAAAAGGTCAGCCTGCAGGCCCGCCCGGTGTCCCCTAGCAGAGGAGAAGGGTGTTCCCGTTTGGGATCGAGTATCCAGGGCCTCCCCTTGCAGAGATGGCTGCGGCCCTGCCTGCTCTGAGAGGGGTGCAGCGCGGGCGGCCTGGGGCACACACCTCGGTGGTGTCCACGTGGTCCTCGCTGTCTCCTGCACCCTGGGCGAGGGCCCGCGGCCGGTCAGAGCTGCCCAGAGCCCGCAGCTCAGCCTGCAGCGCCTCCATGTCCTTCTGGTGCTCCGAGCAGGCGGCCCGCTGCTGCCGCAGCTCCTGCCTGAGAGACTCTGCAGAAGGAAGGGCAGCGAAGGTCAGGCAAAGGGGCAAGGGGAAGGCTGAAGTCTGCCCTGGTGTGGGTGCTGCTGAAGGCTTGGGATCCCGTTCTCCAAGCTTGTTTCAAAATAACAGAGTTCTATGTACAGCACACTAAATGTGCTTAAAACCCTGGAAAAATGTTTATTGAAGCCCTACAACCATCCTATCCAGTATCACCACAACCCATTTGGTGCTGTGGAACCTGAGCTCAGAGAGGCTGAGTAAGTAGCCCAGAGACACACAGCTGGTAAGTCGTGGAGCCAGGATTCGACATCAACTGTGGTTCTTCTTCACTCTGAAGCAGCCCTTAGCCTTTTCCAGGTGATTAGGAAAAGTAGTGAGTTTCGGTGGGACGGCCTTGAGTCAGGGCAGAACCCTGAGACAGTCTGGGCCTCAGCACCAAGTCCAAAACCCCGGCGAACAGGGAATTATCAAGTGACCAGAGGCCTCTTCTGGGGCTGCAAGTCTCGAGTTGGAAATTTTGACATTTATGCCAACTCTTAAGGAGACAAAACATTTACAGGTTCTCCTTTCCCTGGGTGTGAGGTTGGTTGGATTGTGAAGGCAGGAGATGGCACATCATCCGAACAGAATGAGGATTGAAATCGGAATCATCCAGGAGTAATGGACGAGCCCCACCCCCTGTACTCAGGGGAGAGTACGGTCAGAAACGGAACTTCTCCTCTGAGGATGGCGGGCGATTTCTAGTAGTGTCCTCGCAGGACCGAAAGGTGAAGGAAGCAATCATTTCAAAATGAGTATTTTCTGATAGAGTACATGCTATTCACTGAGCTATTTTTTAAAAAGAAGATACCTTTGAAGGACTAGCAAATTTAATGCTTTTCTGTTAGGGACTTTTGAGACTATATTTTAGCTATTGCAAATAACTTGAAATATTATTCCAGTAACTCCATAAGCCATAAAATAAGTACCTAATATGGGCCTCAGTACACAGCAAGTACTCAGTATACATTTGTGAAATAGACAAAGGATGTTTAGAGTGAAAATCAGTGATGTAGTAAAAGTGTATTAGCTGTGAAAGATTTCCCATACGCCTACTGTGCTGCTGCTCTCAAAGGCAAAGTCTATCAAAGGCATGTGAGCGCTTAATATATCCTGTTGACGTTATGTTGAAAAAACGTATTTGGTCATTTTTTTCTCCCCAATAGAATTTTAATAAAGTAACTTCAGAAGCTTTTTTCCTTAAAAAAATGCAGACACAACCCCATTTTTGATATCCTTTATCACAAAGTTGCAATAAAACCCTTTAGCAAAGCATGATCTGTAGTGTATTTATTCCTTATCTTCCCCTCTTCTCTCACCACCCACCCACCCACCCACCTATCCATCCACCTACCCATCCATCCATCCACCCACCCACCCATCCATCCACCCACCCACCCATCTATCTATCCATCCACCCACCCACCCATCCACTCGCCCACCCACCCATCTACCCACCCACTCATCCACACACCCACCCACCCACCCACCCACCCATCCGCCCAGCACGTCTGGGTCTCCGCCCCAGCGTATCACAGCATCTCCAGGACACTCACCCTCTTGCCCTCACACTAACCTGCCCTGAGGTCAGGTGTGTCTCACGCAGACAGACAGTGGAGCAGGAGTAAGTGGGCCCAGGGACATGTACTATCACTCTGTTGTATGGGAGGTGCTCCCACCCACCTGGTACCACCCAGGACACCTACGATTTGCTGTTTTCTTTATGGCCCCCACAAAGCCCTTTCTTCTTCGGAGAGAGGCTGAGAATCCCAGCCTGTCCCCAGGGCCTCTCCTAATTTTTTTGTCAGGAAAGGACCGAACTGCTGTGCAATCGGAAGGGCCCGAGAAGGGACAGCAGGGACACCTATGCCAACAGCTGCCAGGCGTCCCGACCTAAACTTGGGGGGGGTCTTCGACCTGGGACATGTGGCACAACCTGAGTTTTGTCTTCTATAATGAGTCTTCTTTAGATTCTGCTAGCGGTGGCATTTCCACCACAGCTGCCTCCACTCGTGGGGAGCTGTTAACGGGGAATCTGTGCACTCTCCTCCTTCCATTCCCACATCGCTTCCTCCAGCAGGACACACTGTCTAATGAAAACTCAACCAGCAGCAGGTAGATCGTATTCTCTTATGCAGGTAAAGACATTGCTTTCCTCATAATTCTCTTACGGGGTCCCTGTCTGGGTTTGAAAAAACATCTAAGGGGCCAGCGTGGTGTTGAACGATAGGCACGAAATAAGGAGAGGTAGCTGTGTTGCTCTGAACGGTGAGAAGGAAGATGATGTACAAAATGGAGAGAGGCCCCTGGGGTGGCCAGGCAACGCTGGAATGTGCAGGAAAAGTGACAGTGAGCATCTGTATAGTCTGTGTGCCATGTATTTACTCCTGGAAATCTACTGACAGCCCAGTGGGGCGGGTTCTGTTATTATTCCCACTTTACAGCTGAGCAACAGAGACACAGAGCAGTGAAGCAACTTGCCCATGGCCACACAGCTAGTGAGTGTTGGGGCCGGGCTTCTGGCCAAGGCACTTTGGCTCTGCAGATTTGTGTGTGAATGGCTTTTGGTGTGGGAACTGCAGAGGAGGTGAGTTTTGTGCTGGGGATCACGAGGCAGCAGGCGAAGGGGGCAAAGAACACACAGGAGCCTGGAGGCCTCAGTCGCCCCGAACTTGCAAAAATCTCCAGAATGGAAATGAGTCGTTGAGGCAATCCCACGAAACTCTAATGAAGGCCCAGAGATGTGGTTTATGTTCAATAATAATAATAATAATGATGGTGATAAAATGATCTACATTCACTGGGCCCATGTTATAATCTAAGTGTTCTATATTTAATATCTCATCAAATCCACAGTCTGCCCCTATGAGGTAGGGGCAATTGCAACTCTATTTTATAGAAAAGGGAAACGAGGCTGAGAGTGACCCACCCCAGGGCTCACAGCTAGTTGGTGGCAGAACCAGGAGAGTCGCCCTGGCCTGCGTGCCTCCGGATCCCTGGGCCCCGCGCTGCTGCCCCTGGCCACGCCGAGGACCCGACTGGTGTGGCTGGTTGCATACCTAACAGCAGAGCCTGCTGAGCCTGCGTCCTCTCCTGCTCCCCCTGGAGCTCTTGCCGGACCTTTTCCTCCAAGGCCTGGAGCTCTAGCTGGTGTGCCTGGTGCTGCCTCTGGAGGCTGTGGCTGGATTCCTTTTTTAGGAGCTCTTCTGTGGCCTGTGGGAAAACGTGGAAGGAAGGAGGCATAAAAGTGGCCACAGAGGGGAGACCTGTCCCCTCTGCTAAGCTCCTGTTCTGCACTGGGGCCCAGCTGAGCACACTCCCTGGTGAAGGGCCTATCAGCCTCCTCCCCAACCTCTCTGGGATGGCAGTGATGGCATGGCCACAGCAGCCGTTTTGTACCATGTGAACATGACCCTGGTCTGCAGCTGACTGGACCAGAGTGGACCCCTCTTCCAAGCTGGACCATTTGGTGTTAGGAGGTGGGAAGAGAGAGAACAAGAAAGAGGGAGAAACAGACAGACACTGACCATGTCTTCGAGTTTAACACATTTTGGGAAACAGCCCTGCTGGTACCTTGATGTCAGGGCTTCCGACCTTCAGGACTGTAGTTTAACTGTGTTGTGTTAAGCCACCAACATTGTGGTCATTTGTTACAGCAGCAATAGGAAACTAATAGAGTTTCTTTCTTCTTTCTTTCTTTCTCTCTCTCTCTTTCTTTCTTTCAAGAGTTAATTTATTTATTTTTAAAGAGAAAGGAAGGGAGGGAGAAAGAGAGGGAGAGAAACATCAATGTGTGCTTGCCTTTCACACACCCACTACTGGAGACTTGGCCTGCAACCCAGGCATTTGCCTTGACTGGGAATCGAACCAGTGACTTTTTGGTTTGCAGGCCAGTGCTCAATCCACTGAGCCACACCAGCCAGGGCTTCTTTCTTTTCCTTCCTCTCTCTCTTTTTTTTTTTGGTTTCCCAGAAGAGAGGTTCAGTTAATATATAGCCCCACTTTTAAAATGAGCAAACAGAGGCTGAGATCAATTTGCTTTTCCAAGGTCACACAGAAAAAAGGTGCAGAAATCATAAATCCCTCTCCCCTCCCCTCCCCTTTTTTTCCCTTACACGGAGGAGGAGCTGGGCTCAGAAAGGAGAAGTGACCTGCTAACTGCAGTCACGGTGGAGGCCTCACGGTGACCCAGGGGCTGCACTGTCTGAGGCACAAGCCTTTCCACTCCCTGGTGCAGCCCCTGGGAACAGTGAGAAACGGATTTCACCAAATGCCCGAGGCCCGCCTTCGGGGAGGACTGAGGCATCCTGGGGCCTGGGGCAGCTGACTGAGTGCAGCTGCGTCTTGCCTCGCCCTCTGAGAAGGTAGAAGGTAGGAGGTGACAGATGAACTGTGTTTGAGCCTCCCCGTGGAGGGCCTGACCCTCACCACACTCTCCAAGCCTTTGGGAAGCTCTTTCCTGCTGAGCTGGCCTTTCTCAGCTCTGGACTGCGCTCGCCCTTTTTAGCTGCCGGGCTGAGCCTGAACCCCCAGCGTGCATTGTGCCCAGCACGGCCCAAGTTAGGAAAGAAAGCTACTCTTACGTCATCCAGGTCACGTGCAGGTTGGGAAAACAGTACAAGAAGCCCAACAGACCTAAGCCTGAATCCTTGCTTTGCCACTTCCTAGCTGTGTGACCCAGAGAGACGATTGACTCTGAGCCTCTTTCCTCAACTGGAAAACGGAATATGATAATAATGACCTTGGAAGGTGATTGTCAGGGTTGGGATGACGTAGGAAAGGCCCCCCGTAGGCTGTGTGGCCAGGGCTCAGCCACTGGTGGACGTCACAATCAGCTCCCTTACCTTGAGTTCCTGGTTTTTGGCTTTCTCAAGCAGGCGGAGGGCCCGCTGGTGCGACGCCTCCATCTGGGCCCTCCCAGCCTGGTTCTGCTGGACCGTCTCATGGAGCTCCCGCTGCAGCTTCTCCCTCTCCTGGTCCGAGAGCCGCCGGAGCTCCTGCAGGTCCTGCCTGTAGTTGCTGGTGCACTGCTCCAGGGCCTGCTGCATCTGCGACACCTGCCCACCGGGCAGCCTGCCCTCAGCTGAGTCCCTTCCCACCTCCGGGATCGCCTTGAGAGGAGCTTTCTGAATGCCTGCCCCACCCAGCGGGGCCTCCTCTGTCTGTGGGAGCTCTGAGGGGTGGGAACTTCGAGCTGGAAGAATCTGGGGACTGTCAGGCCACCTGGGGCCACGTATGCTGGACAACGGTGCAGGACTAGGACACAGACCATCCTGGAGAGATCAGGGGGGCAGCAGAGTGGCCTCCCTCCCCTCCTTCAGCTGCTTGCTCAGTTCTGCCTCTTACTGAAGCCTCCCCGGCAAGTCCATCTGGTATTACACCCCCTCCCTCATCACCAGCCAGCCCCCAGTCCCCTTCACGCTGCTGTTTGTCCTTTGTCCTGAGCCCTTCTCATGTGCTCATATATCACAGGCTTTACTTATTTCTTATGTCTATTACGTATGGTCTGCACCCACGTCCTCTGCTCAAATACAGGTACTTTTATGTAGCGCTTTTTCTTGGTTTGCTCACCAAGAAGCTTTCCTGGCTCACAGCGGGTGCTCACAGCGGGAGCCACAAAGGTGTGGAAGGAATGAATAAGTAGAACTAAGAACCCCACCTGGCCCGGGGCCTAGAATGTCCGCCACAGCACGGACGTGAGTGGGGCCCCGCACGCGTGTCCACGGCTGTCAGGAAGGACGAGGGGCAGGCAGGTCTCGCCTGGCGCGAGGGCACATCCCCATCACAGCCGTCCTCCTACCTGGGCTTGCAGTCTGGCCTTCTGGCCCTGCCACTCCTCCCGCAGGCGCTGGATTTCAGGGGCCTTCTCCTTCAGCAGAGAGCCCAGGGGAGACTGTGGACTCCCTCCTTCCTCCAGGGGCACCGTGATCCTTCGGTGATAGGGAAGCCGAAGTCACAGAAGGTCCTAGGCCAGAGATGGCATGGCCACCCCGGCGACATCTCGACCACTTGGGCTGAGGGAGCTCCCACGGCAGTTGGTGGAGTGAAAAACACCTTCTTTGGATTAAAAATAGCCTGATGTACAAACTTGAAGTGTTATTGCCCTTGGGATACAGTCAGGACACAGCTGGACCCTCCTGGTAGCTGTTTCAGTGGGTGCTTAATACATGACGATCACCTGACAGGGTGACGGAGCTTAGTCTCTTATGCAGGGTCCTTGGGGGCCCCCCTCTGGAGGAAGAGGTCTCCATGGTTTAATTGCACAGCTCTTCCTGCTTATGAGAAGACCCAACAATAATGCTTCCCTTGAATCTAGTACTTTATGCCTTTCAAAGCACGCTCTTAACTTTTACCGGCTATCCTCAAGTAAATGTAGGGGAATAATAAACAGGCCTTTACAATGTAGCAGGAACAGGGCGATGCTGATTTAAAACTGAAGTAATTTCTGCATTCTGGAACAGATGCCCACCAATGTCTTTGGAGAGACTTTCTGATCCCCAGTTCTGAACTTGAGAACCAGCTGAGAAATTCAAATGTAACCGGCTGAGGTTGTGATGCTAAGTATTTATCCCGTCTAACAATGGAAAAGGAGGCCACGGGGTGGACGTCTCAGGGCAGAGGTCGCTGAAATGTAAATGGTGCTTTGCTTCCTCTGGCAAGGACACGGGCCAGGGGACCAGAGCTAAGGAAGGCAGGGCCCTGGACGACAAAGAATGACCATAAAAAAGGTGGGGGTGGAGCGGGGGAACCTGACTTGAAAGGAGCGAGAAGGCTCAGCGACACAGCACAGGCTGGGGGTTAAGGGACCTCTGAAAGGACTGGAAGGATGCCAGGAGCAGCCCAGCAACATGGGTAAAAGCATGCATGCTAGAGCCAGACTGCTCAAGTTCACATTCAAGCTCTACTGCTTACTAGTTATGTGACCTTGGGCAAGATGTTTAAGCTGTCTGGGCCCAAGTTTCCCCCTCTATAGGACAGTTACGTCTTCCCGATGAGTTGTCCCTTTACCACTATGAAGCAGCCCCTTTAAAATCCTGCTACTATTCATGGTTCTGAAGCCTCCTTTGATGTTAGTCTAGCCGCACGAGTTTCCTCACAGTTGATGTCAGCCTGGTACCACTCTTCCCACTCTCCTGCCTTCAAGCCTGTGTGTGCTGCCAGCATGGGGGCTGCCATAGCAAAACACCTCTGGCTGGGGGCTGAAAAAGTACAAGTTTATTTTTCACAGTTCTGGAGGCTAGAAGTCCAAGATCAAGGGGTCAGTGGGTTTGGTTTCTTCTGAAGGTTGCAGGTAGCCACCTCCCCATCATGTCCTCACATGGTGGCCCTTCGTGTTACCTGGGTGCCACTCTCCTCTTCACATAAGGACACCCGTTGTATTGGAGTAGGGTCATCCCAGTGACCCCATTTTAACTCAGTCCCCTCTTAAAAGACCCCATCTCTAAATACAGTTGAACTTGGAGGTGCTGAGGCTTCGGGCCTCAACATGTGAATGGGGTGGGGCACAATGCAGCTCATAACAATGTCTTTGTATTTCAGTGTCTCTTTGTGGGTAATGTACAGTAATCTCTTGCCATTTTCTCCTCTCTGACAATCTCTTTGAGATGGTGGGTTTGTTTCATTTACATTCTAATTATTGAGATGGTTGGGCTTAACTCTTGCCATTTATTTTCCATTTGCTCAGTCCCTTTTCTTATTGTTGTTCTGTTCTTTCTTTTCTGCAATTTGTATCCTCACCCTACCACAATCTATGTAATGTTAATGTGGTACCTCTTCACGTCAAATGCAAATCCCTTACAAAGGATAATTCCTTCACTCCCACCGCTGGCTCCGGGCCGGTGCGGTTTTGTACTTTCCAACCATTGTGCCTGCACTGTGAGCCCCAGAACACAGCGTTAGTGTTACTATTATCATTTTGAAGCAGCTCAGTGCCGTTCAAAGAATGACATCCTCAAAGAAATTAAGAGGAGAAATGGTAGTCTTTTATATTTCCTTACACATTTGCCATTTCTGATTCTCTTTATTTTTGCCTGTAGATGTCAGTTTAAATCTGGTGTAATTTCCTTTCACCATTTATCATTTTACGGGTTGGCTGGCGAAAACTTATCTTGGCTTTTGTGTGCCCGGAAATGCTGTTATTTCAACCCTGTTTTTGAAGGATATTTGCAATGATCCCATTCCATTGCCCCCAATTCCCTCACATCCTAAGGAGCCCATCCCATCCTGCATCCACCATCATAAAGCAAGTCACAGCTGACCCTCCTGACCTCCTCCTTCCGCACCCATTCAAATTAATTTTGCCCCAGCCAGTGTGGCTCACTTGGTTGGAGCATCCTCCTATAATCTGAAAGGTTGAAGGTTCAAGTCCTGGTCAGGGCACGTGCCTCGGTTGCAGGATTGGTCCCCTGTTGGGGTGCATATGAGAGGCAACCCATTGATGTTTCCCTCCCTCTCTCCCCTGTCTCCTCTCTCTAAAATCAATACGCACACCCTTGGGTGAGGATTAAAATAAACAAAGGCAAAAAAGACAACCGATCCTGACCTGCTCTCCCCTACCTTAAGTCAACAGCCAATGGAAAAGCTGCCTCCCTTTTAGCCGCTATGACAAGAAGCCCAGTTTTGCCACCATCATCCTTCATGGGGGCAACTGGGGACTATGCGACCCCACCCCCAAAGGAACCACCGCATTGGTTTCGTCCCGCAGTCCCTAACTTTAGATCTCAGACGACTTTCTCTTCCTTCCTCTCACTACTTAGCTCTTCAACTCCCACCAAAACCCTGTGTGAGCAACCTCCAGGGCCCCATCTCTTCATTTGCTTCTACAGTTGAGGATGCCCCCTCACCAATATGGCCACCATGGGAGAAGAAGCAAGGCTATCGTAATCTCCACCTTCTCCTGGTCTGCCCAGCATCCTCTCCCTGGGAAAGTCTTTCCACAGTGATCCTGTTTAGTCCGCAGGGTGTGGGTACGGCTAACTCTGCCCCACTCCCAGTTTGCCCCAGGGAAGGACATGTGTTACCTGCCTGCCAATCAGGGCACTCTATCTGCTAAACGGGAATGATTGGCTCAGGAATGGACATGTGACCCAAGCTGGGCTCCTTAAAGACCTCTTTGAAATTGCTGCTGATATTCTTGGGAAAAAGAAAGGGGAAGAAAGATCCTTCCATCTGGAATCATGAGTTCTAAACAGGACAGTGTTTGTGGCTGCCACTGGTAAAGCAGCGGTTCTAGGACTTCCCCAGGAGGCCCGACTCCAGAGGCTGCCCTCTTTAACTGGTGTTCTGCATGCCTGGACACCCAGCCCTGGAGTCTGGAGGATGCTATGGGAGTATCGTTAGCTGGAGTGCTCATTTGACTAGAGGCTGCCCAACACAGCCTTTGACGGGTGTATAGGTGTAGATTCTGCTCCCCAGGGTCAGGGTCTGAATGTTTGTGGTCCTTCAACAGTTATACATTTTAACCTATTGTCCAATGAGATGGAGCCTTTAAAAAGTGGTTAAGTCATGAAACAGAGCCCCCGTGATGGGATTAGTGTTCTTATAGGAAGAGACATGAAAGAGACACATCTCTCTCTCTGTCTCTCTCCCCCTGCCATGTGAGGTCACAGAAAGAGGACAGCCATCTGCAGGTCAGGAAGAGAACTTTCACCAGGAAGTGTATAGGCCCACAACTTGATCTTGGGTTTTCCAGCCTCTAGAACTTCGAGAAGTCAATTTAGGCCACCCAGTCTGTGGTATTTTGTTATAGCAGCTCAAGCTAAGACACGTAAGGAGCATATTCTTCTCTGCCTGATGATATTAGTTTTAGCCATGCGACTTGCTTTGGCCAGTGAAATGTGGGCAGGAACAAGAGAGTACATTCTGAATGTAGGCTTCAAGAGGGATTACATATTTCCATCAGCCCTTTGAGCCTCTTCCCGTTGCCATGACAACAACATTCCCTGGTCAGGAACTAACCCTTTCGCCTCCATCCCAGAGTGAGAAGACCCGTGGAACAGAAGGACTCTACCCATGGTCCGAGGCAGGCAGTTACACCTGACCCTCAGCCACATAAGCCCAGTAGAGCCCGGCAGAGCCAAGAGTCAAGGTGGCCGGCTTATGAGCTAAAAATCACTGATATTTTGAGAATGCTTGTTACCGCAGCAAAAGGTGACTCATTCAGGTGATACAGATGGAGGATATCTCCTTGGGGACAAGGATCCCTTGTTTACCCTAGTTAAGGGACACTTGGAAGGACAAGAGGCAGAGGTTTGGGCCAGTCCATGCATGAGTTTTGGTCAGGTTTACTGGCATTTCAAGTTTCAGGTTCTTAACCTATAAAATGGCCTTTCTGGGCTGGTGTGACAACTACATATGCTAGTTCAGGGAAAGCCCATAGCTGTGCTGAAGATGTACAAGATATGCCTGTCCCCTCCTTAAGCATGACGCAAAGGGCAGCAATAATTCCTTGAGGACAGAGTGAATGAATGAACAAATCCTTCCCGATCTGAGTCCTCATTCTCGGGGGTCCTCAGAAGTGAGCATGTCTTCCTGTACCTGTCCTCCTCGTCACTGCTGGCTCCTTCTTTAGCTGCTAACTTATCTTCATACTCTTCTCCTCCGGGCAAGGTCTGAGAAGGCTCATTCAGCATCAGGCATGGATCCTAAGGCAAAAACAGTCGCGAGATCAGACCAAGTGCAGTTCCCTGATGCAAGCCATGGCTCCTCCACCCAGAGAGCAGAGGAGAAAGAGCCCCCGCAATCCAGTCCCGGAGCAGGGCTCGCAGGCCTGGAAGACAAGGCCCGTGACGCAGCAGCACCTAGCTCAGTGGCTTGGCCTTGGAGCCGCATCAGGTCCTCGTATCCTGCTTTCCAGGTGACCGAGCACTTCATGGGCTGAGGAAACCAAGATGCGGAGAGTGTAAGGAACATGTCCAGGGTCCCCCCATCTGTGAGTAGTGGAAATGGGATGTGCCATCAGGCAATGGGCCCCTGGGGCCTGCATGCCCATCCCCCTTGTGACGCACTCCGTGTATGATCCGCAGGGCGCAGGCCTTGATGGGTCTGCTGCGCGGCTGTTGCGGGGATCAGAGAAGGGTGCCGGCAACAGTCATGCTCACTGTCATTCCACCCATTTTACGGGTGGCGGTCTGTGACAACTCATTACAGACAATCAGAAAACATGCACCTGCCGAGAGGAGTGGGGTGTGGAGGGAAGAGAATATGGAAACTGTGAGTTAACACCGAGGCTTTGGAATGTTCTATGAATTCAATTGGTTCATGTCATCCGGCCCTTTGCACAGATGTGGAGGTGAGAAAGACTCTCTTGATTTGATTCTTCCCCTTGTCAGGTAACTACTGACCATGGAAACAGCAGAGCCAGACAGACTAGGGACACATTTCTCTGTTCGGTGGCTCCCCTGTCCCCAGCTGCAGGGCCCAGCGAGTTCGGTTCAGGGCTGCGTACTCTCAGAAACGATGTTCCTGACCAGCTTACTTCCTTCGTGTGGAGCTGAGGCTAAAAGGCATTTTGGGCATCAAAAGTATGTCAGAGATCTCTGGTTCCTATAAAACCCAGAAGCAAACACCACAGCCTGAGCAAAACAGCTTTGGGAGACACAGTTATGAACACACGTTTGGTGCAATACAGACAAAATGGCACTGTATGTGTGGGACCCCCACCACCATGAGTCAGGATGGCATAATACTACAATGTCAGCAAGTAAATGATGATTAAAGTTAATGAGGTTCAGGTTTCAAAAGGAAGACTGAAAGTTATAAGGACATTTTGGTAAATGGAAAGCATAAAATATGTTGGTAGAAATAAAATTGTAGCAGCAATCACGAAACACGTGAACTGGCTAATTTCTTTTATCATCGATAGCTATTGTGATAAGAGAAATCACTCATTAAAACACTCTAATAGCCCTGGCTGGGTGGCTCAGCTGCTTGGACATTGTCCAGCAAACCAAAAGGTTGCCGGTTCAATTCCCGGTTGGGGCACATGTCTAGGTTGCAGATTCGGTCCCTGGGTGGGGCAAATACAGAAGGCAGCCGATGGATGTTTCTCTTTTGCATCAGTGTTTTTCTCCCTCTCTTTCTCCCTCCCTTTCCTCCTCTCAAAATAAAAACAAATAAATAGGCCCTGACTCGTGTAGCTCAGTGGATTGGACGCAGGCCTGTGAACCAAAGGATCACAGTTCGATTCCCAGTCAGGGCACATGCCCGGGTTGCAGGCCAGTTCCCAGCAGGGGACCCATGAGAGGCAACCATACATTGATATTTTTCGCCTTCCCTTCCCCTTTAAAGATAAATAAATAAATAAATAAATCTTTAAAAAAAACCCGAATAAATAAAGTTTAGCAAAAGCACTCTAATAATGAACATGTAGGCATCTAAAATACAGCCTGAAAACATACAGCGAAATGTTCAGAACTGAAGGAAAAAATGGGCAGATTCATAACTAGAAGGGGAGATTTTAATACACTCCTCTCCGAAACTGATGCATCAGGCAGACACGAAGCACTAGCATATGCAAGATTTGGACATGATTAAAAAGCTAAAACTAAATAGCTGAAAAAAGCCTGCTAATCACTGCTAACATTTAAATGATGTGCCAGGTTCTCCACCTATGAGGGGGGCCCTGTTGTCCCATTTCAAGGGCGACAAACAAAGGCAGGAGAGGGTACGTGACCTGCCCAAGGTCACACAGTGAGCATATCACAGGACTATAATCCAAATATGTGTACTTTAACCACCAACTGAGATCATGCCTTTCTTCTATTATGTAGGGAACATTAAAAAAAACCCCAAACCTGACCCCACAGCAGGCTGTAAGGCAATGTCAATGTCGTTCAAAGTGTTGACAGTCTGCAGACCGAGCTATCTGGTGACAGTGCCATAGAATTAGAAAGCAACAGAAAGTAGGTTTTAAAGATGGTAAAGTTCAAAACTCTGCACTACAACTAAAGAGATACACTCAGGGGGAGATTTATAGCCTTAAATATATATGTAAAAAAACATTTCAGATGCTAGAAAAAGAATAACAGGATAAACCTAAAGTAGAAGGAAAGAGATATGAAAGATAAAATTAAGGACGTAGAGAAGATAAATCTGACCAACACATCGCAAAGCTGGCTTTTTGAAAAATGCATCAAACCGTTGGCAAGTCTAGTCAGAGCCAACAAGAGAAGGAACTGGAAGCGACATGAATAATAGACAAAGATGTCATGTCAGTTATCACGAAGATGAAAAAGCTTTCAGACGCACCCCAAGCCACTGTGCAGACCTCAAAGGGAATGTGCGGTGTGACTGCGGAGCCATCCCATCGACCACCTTTAAAGGCCGTGCGGCGTTGCACTGGTCTATGTCCCCACAGCAACTCGTGGATGCCGTGACTCTCTGAAAGGGCGGGGAAGGCACCGCTGCTCTCGGACTGCTGATGTGGATCAAGGACGGGAAAAGTTCAATGGCTCCTCTCAGGTCTCACGGCCACGGGAAGGTGGCACCAGGACCGGACCCCTGGATCGTGGGACTCCCATCCTCGTCATTCCACGTCACCAGTCTGGCACTTGGCTGTGCCGTGTTAACATGATCGCCTGCTGCCGGAATCAGGACCTAACTGAGTGCGATTTCAAACCACATCGTCACAAATGCGCTGCTGAGAAGTGTTCGCACAACTGACACTCAGAATCAACCTGAGAGATGAAGGCTGTTTCCCACATCGACAGGGAGGCGAACTCAGCGATCCTGTGTCTATTCACCGTTTTCAGGCCCCAGGACCCCAGGGACAGGGGCGCTCTTCCCAAAGGAGATGAGTTTCACCACCCACGGTCTCCCACAAGTAACTGAACGCCCCCATGCTCTTCTAAGTCATCCTCCAGCCAAGGCAAAGTTCTGAAGTTCTTAATCTAACCTTTTAACTACCAGGACTCAAAATGGTACTCACAGTCTACTTGTTCAGTTGGCATGCCCTGTATCAGTTTATGTACCAGAAAGCGCTAAGCTTCAGCCACATGCAGGTGTGTGAGGTGCAGGAAGGATAAAGATGAATGAAACATAGTTCTTAATTTCAACAAACTTACAGTTCAGTTGGGAGACCAACAAACCTTGTAAACAACACATGCAGTCCCCTCCTCTCTCTCCTACATTTTGTTTACCTGTGCTTTGGATCAAAGCACATCATTCAGAAGGAGCTGGGGTGCCATTTAAACATTTCACAAATGGACTTGGCCATGGAGATCAAGAGTTGGCTGAAAGAAGGCTTTGAAGCCCACTGATACTTGGTTCACTCTTCTCTGCTCATGCTCATCCACTCGGATCCATCCCAGCGAGTTCCTCCCAGTGTCACCCCGACCCACGTGGGTGTATCCTGAGTGGTCTGCCCCTAACTCACACTCTCGGGTTTCCCGTCAGGCATTTTCTCAGGTTCAGCTCGGCGCTCTCTCTAGTGTTAAAGTGACCTGAGTGTAAACTGTGCTCAGAAAAATAAATAGTCCTCCTTCTCTCCAGCCACCCACGACAAAAGCCTCCTCCCTACTCCTCCCAAGCACACGGCTGATTATTTGCAACCTGTGTTCACACTGAGTCTTCGTCTTTCACCTTCCAGGCAGTTGGCCTCTCCCGGATTCTCTCCATTTTAGAGGAACCCCCACACCCAGGAAATCTCCTGGAAGGGAATTTTCAAAGTCCTTCTCAGCCTTTCAAAGGTGCGTTATGCAGGTCTGAAAACAGAATACCCAATGCAATGGGGTTTTGCTGAAATGATTCCAGGGGACTGTAATGGATTCTACAAAGTCCCCCCACACTTACAGAATGTTTAATAGTTTTGAAGAGTGCCTTCCTGTGCTTTCTTCCATCGATCGCCACAAGTCTCTGGGGTGTGGGGGCGGGATCGTCACTGCCACTTTACCAATGAGATGCACTAGAGTGACGGGGCCGATAGCATGGGCCCGGGCGCTGCTCTCCGGGCCTCAGTTTCCCCATATGTGAAACGAGAACAATAACGACTCTTGCCGGACAGGAATGTTGTGGGACTGCGTAAAGCGTGGTGTCCCTGGCTCATGGTCAGGGATTTATCTGCGCTGCCACTAGGAGTCAGGGGGAAACCAGACTCCGGGAGGGCCTTGGACTTGCCTGAGGCCCCCATGCAGGGGTGGGGTGTGGGGTGCAGCTGGGGTGGAATCCAAGTCCCAACCGTAGGAGTGGCTGCCCTCCTATGCTGCCTCCCTGGGCTCCAGCAGATCTTGGCCTGTCTCAGCCTGGAACCTCTCCAAGGACTAGGTCTCCAGGGCAGCCTGCCTTGTTTCGTGTGGGATGGAACCGGACCCCTCAACTCACACCACATGGAGCACAGCAGCCCCGTGTGGCCTGATGACTCTGAGGACATCACGTATTTAAGGGCTTAGTGATCATTTGTCTGCCCACCCCCAGGTGTTGCCGACCCGGGATTCATATGATCCTCCGGGTTTGGTACAGGGTGACGGCCGCACAGCAAACCGTGCCGGGTCTCCTGAGAGCAGGGGACACTTCTCAGGTCTGGGAGAGCTTCCACACACCCCTGTCTCCCTTCCCACTGGCCTCAGGGCTTCTGCCTTGGGACCTTTCACTGTGCTTCTCCCCTCTGCCATGTCCCTTCCTGGTAAAGTCACATGCAACCTCAGTATCCAGGCAGGTGGCAGCAGACGTCACTGCCCTGGGCAGAAGTGGCCCTCTCCCCGACTAGCTGCACAGGCATCTTCTTGTCATTATCTCAGCATTCTCATACAGCCGGTCACCTACGTAGTTGTTTCTCCCACGTGAGATGGAGTTCTCCAAGGACCAGGCCTGGGCCCCACTCGCCCCAGGACTCAGCCCTGTGCCTTGTGGAAGAACAGCCCTCACCTACTTGTTGAGGTGGGAAGCCTTGGAGAACAATTAGCACAAACGACTCTCTTTTTTTGGTAGCAAATGTAAGCAAGAAGATCTATGAAAATGTCAGCGTTCTTTGCCCCCAGTTCAGGGTGACCCTGGCACCAGAAGTCTTCCGGAACAACATTTCCCTTTGTGATTACCAGGGCTGAACTGGCTTTCTGGAAACTGGTGAATAAAGCTTGCTGCTAAGAGACTCGAGGAGACCGGGCAGAAGAGACCAGGACAAAAGGGTCAGGAAAGTCCCCGCTAACCTGGGTGGGGACAGAGACACACCCAGCTCTGGCAGCCTTCCCTTGGCCCGTTCTGCTAGTGGAGCAAAAAGCTGGCTCTCAGTTGGCATTATTATTTATATTTCTTTGACTCACTGAAATGCTCTGGCAGAACAGCTAAGGGTATAAACTAAAACTGCCAAGTCCTGAACAAGCTTAATAGCGCCCAATCCAGGCAGAATGTCACTGGGGAAGCTGGCCATTTACATCCTGATTTGAGATCCGTGTGTCCAGCCCCAGGTCAGCCCAGGACTGTTCAGGCCCCACTAGGCCTCCTCCTTTCAGACTGACCTGCCCCTTGCAATGTCCCGTGCTGTGTGTGGCAGTGGCCTGCTCACACACCACCCAGGTGACCCTGGGAACTCCTGCGAGACTTTGTATCTCCAGGACCTAGGCAAGGCTTCGACTCACTGGGCTGGCGTATAAAATAGCTGGCTTGCCACCAATATTGAACTAAATTACAAACATTCTCCGGTTGGCTAAGCTCAGGGATTACAACACTGTGACTTGGTGTTGGCTGGGCCGCCAGGGAGGCAGTGTGGCATGTCCATCCGAGTTAAACTGCACCCACAGCACCTGGAGGTAACAGAAGACATACGGAGGGTCAGCTGTAAGTGACAAAGAAAAAAGGGCATGCGCATTGGGCCCAGCAAGTTCTACGACGGGAAGAACTAGCACCTGTCGAGCATTTGCAAGTACCAGGTGCTGTTCCCAGTACTGCACACATATTAATTCATTGAGTCCCCAGAAAACCCGGGGAAGCTGGTGGTATCATCATCCCCATCTATAGATGAGGCAGCTCCAGTCCTTTGTCCAGGAGTCTCCCGCCAGTACGAACGCAGGCATCTAGTTTGGAACGAGCTCGCTTAGCCGCCGGACTACACCACAACCCTCTGGAGTTCTGTATTAGCTATGATCACTGAAGTGTTGTCTGTAATAGGGAAACCTCAATGTCCGCCAACAGGGAAGGCTGAATATATTACGGTTTTTCTGTTCAAAGGATGCCAGGCAGTTGTTCCTTAAAAAAATAATAAAACTGACATGGAAATGTACCGACGTATTACAATCTCTACGCTATAAAAATTCAAGTCAGAAAAAAGCAGAATGGAGGAGAGTATACTATCATTTGTGGGGAAAATGCCTGCTTGTACAAGGTATGGCTCAGCAAGGAGAAATAAAAACAAAGAACAAATAAAAACAGAACAGAACGAACAGTAGGAAACGGGGTGACAAGCCTGCTTTTCACTGCACGCTGACTGGCTGCGCCTTTCATATTCTGCACTGGGTATGCAGATGGCTTATTGGAAAAGGAAGTTTAATTTAAAAGAACTCTACCTGCAAAGTGCACGCTGGTTGCCTGGTAGAATTCACAGCACCAGATGACTGATTCTGTTACTGAGTGTGCTCGTCGTTTGAAAGCTATTTGTTTAGGTGTATTTCTTTCCTGTGACATCTTGCTCAGAGGCCGGCACACCCTAGGATTCCATGAGTGACAGTGCGGGAATGAATAACGTGGACGTTAAGTTGAATCAGATGAAACTGATATTCACCGAGGTCTCTGCTACAGCCCTACTCAGCCGAGGGTCCGTACTTCTTTCTAGAAACTGAGCTCCGTGAGGGACAAGCTGGGCAGAGGCAGGAAACAGGACCCCCTTCAGCCCCTCCCGAAGAAACCAACACCTGCTGACACCTTGATTTTGGACTTCTAGCCTCTGAAACTGTGAGACACTACACACATGTCTGTGGTGTAAGTTCCCAGATGTGCACATCACGACAAATGTCGGAAGATCATACAGCCTAGCAGAGCTGAACCGAGAGGCACACAGGCCCCGGTTTCTGCCCTGGAGCAGCGTCCCTGGAAGGGCAGGGTGCCAGGGGCCAGTGTGGGAGAAACTGAGACCGGGGATGTGGAGGGAGGTGGCAGGGGTTGCTATTATGATGTTATGCTTTGTGCTGAACAGGACCAAAGGCCCCTACGGAGCCCGGGGCCCCTTCATCTGCCAGGCAGGCTGCTCTCAGAGAGGGAGGGGAGATGCATCTGACAAGCCCTGTTCTTTTTCAGACCGTGTGGATAATTACTTAGAACTCTGTTTTGTTCGTGGCTTTTGCGGAAGGATTTTGTGGTGATCTTTTCCCAGGCCTATTGGCAGCTCTGAGGTGGAACATAAAAAGCCTGTTAATGCCAGCGAGTGTCACTGGGGACGCTGAAGTGTTGAAACGGACAAGTATCCTTAACTAAAACGGAAAGAGCTCGGGCTCACCTGGGTTTCTAAAACGCGGTGGTGCAGGTGGTTCAGTTCCTGGGGTTGCTCCTCATCTCTTTGGGGATAGGCCTTGTTCTGTTGGATAAACTCTTCCAGCCTTAAAACCTAGAACAGAAGAATAGACGTGCTCAGTGATGAAACCAAGTCACGTCTCCTGGGTGTGGTCACTAATCTGGCAACCCCTTCTCCTGGGCCCACCAGTTCTGGGGACGGTGCCCATCAGGCAAATTCCACACTTGCTTCCAGAAAGGCCACGTCTGGTGAGCGTCTCTTCGGAGGAAGACTGGCCTGGCTGGTCTGCAGGAGTCCACACTTCCCTTAAGATTATTTGCATCTGTGTGTCACCACTAGAGCCGTGGTGGTGTTTTTCATTGGCTTTCATACCATCATCCACTACTTCGTCCTTTTTTTTCAAAAAAATGTTTATTTACTTATTTTTAAAGAGAAGGGAGGGGAGAGAGAAAGAGAGGGAAAGAAACATCGATGTGTGAGAGAGACACGAGGGAGACATGGATTGGTTGCCTCTCACATGCCCACCACTGGGGCCTGGCGCACAACCCAGGCGTGTGCCCTGACTGGGACTCGAACCAGTGACCTTTTGGTTTGCAGGCCAGTGCTCAATTCATTGAGCTACACCAGCCAGGGCACTGTTTCTTTTGTAAAAAGTTAATTGATAAAGAAAAGAAACAACACTTAATAATTATACAGATATGAGAGAAGAGTAGCTAGCAGGTGCTATTTAATTGTAATGCCTTAATTATGCTCATTGTTATTCACCAACTAATTGTCACGTGTCAGTTAGACAGACTGGCTTCCCTGCTCCAGAACAAGGGGAAGAATAAGACCTGTAACCACAGAGGAAACGTAGATACTCACAGATCTTTGTAGAAAAGCTAATACTCCCCAGGCACCGTGCTAGGTATCAGGGGGGCCTGGGAAGGGAGTGGGTTAGAGAAAAATGGTAAGACAATGAAATACCGTCCCTGCCTTCAAGGAGCTGCGGTCTCATGGAGAAGACGGGCACACAGCAACATTCAACAGACATACGTACAGAACAGCACACTTAACGGTGCCTCTGCGCCGTGCCAGGCCAGGCCCTAAGCATTTCACCGCACTGACCCTTCCAGTCTGCACGGCAGCTACGAGGCAGGTACCACTGGGTGCTACTGCAGAGCTCACAGCAGTCAACTCTGCCCGGGGAGTCCGAGGCAGCTTCAGGGCACGGAAGGATGAATGGGGGCCCGTCAGTGTCAGGGTGAGAAAGGGCCTTCCGAACAGCGGGTGTAGTGGCGGAGGGTGGAAAGGATGTGTGTGAGGACTGAGGAAGGTTCCTTGCCGGGGGCCCATCACGAAGGACTAGGCAGGAGGCAGCAGAGTCCTGCGGGGCAGTGGTGGTGAGTTAGGTGCAGTCCAGGTCGTGAAAAGCACGGGAGGGGAAGGTTTCAGGGAACGAGGGGTGGGGCCCCAGGCAGATCTGGGTTTAGATCACTAGTTCTGGAGTCAGCCGACCGAGGGAGAATGGGCAGGCTCTCGGGAGGCTCCAGAGGCCGTCACGGAAGAAGAGCGAGGCCCTGAGGATGTGGGCTTCTCAGCTTTACAGAGTGAACGCTTGGGGAAGGAACACCCAAAGATCATGAGGCTACGTACACTGCATCTTGCTAAGGTGGAGGAAATATTTAAATGAGTTCTGTGAGGTTGTTTACAAGCAGGTAAAAAGAAAATGTGTCTCGGAGAGCCATTCTGAGGGTCTTGACCAAGGCATCAGTTGAAGGAGAGGGGAGAGGACCTAGGGGCTTAAAGTGGAAAAGCTCATGGGACTTGACGGCTGATGGGATATGGGGGGGGGGGGCGGGGACTCGGGCTGAGGACAGGAGAGCAGGAGAGGGCAGGGGGTCGAGGGCGATGCTTCCACTTCTGGCGTCGGTGAGCAGGTGGAAGGACACCACGAAGGTGGCAGAAGAAATGGGGGTGGAGGGCAGGCCTGAGGCACTTTGTCCACGGCCGGACTCCGGTCTGTCCCGCCATCTGTAGACACCAGGGTCCCGAATGACGCCCAGGCATCGAAGGGGCAGTGTTAGCGCACTGGTCAGCATTGGAGCTGTAGAGCCCATGACCTGGCTGGACCCCAGATCCGCTTCTCGGTGCCTGTGTGGTGACCTTGAGGAAGTGATTCATCTTCTCTGTCTTCACTGAGAAAACTTCACTGAGGGGTTTTCTCATTTGTAAACCAGAGACACTGATAGTCCAGTGATTGTAAGGATTAAAAGTTAACGTGTGTAAAAATATTAACTGTCAATACTTTCAGATATATTTTAATACTTCTTAGACAGCACCTTAACTAGAGTAAGTGCTTAACGAAGGCTCACCATTGTTATTTTTAAGTTGAGGGTTCTAAGGGTTATTCAGAGAAATAGTGAGGGGATGGCCCAGGTGTCAGAAGTAGAACTGGGTTGGTCCCAAAATGTACAGGAAGCCTCCCGGGTGGTCTGGACCCCCTGTGAAGACTGGCATATAGGTCAGCAGGGCGGGAGGGAGAAGGGCGGGGAGGGAGGGAGAGGGGCCGGAGACGGACACGGCTTCTTCGCTGAGCAGCCGCCTGGGGCTGCGGTGGGACAGAAAACTCTACAGCAGGGACTTTCCATCAAGACCTCGCCTGTAGAGCCCCTGCATATGGAGAGTAAGGTGTGGCCTGCTCACCTTTGTCCTTTTTAAATGGCAATTTGTGAGATAGACAAAAGGTTGGAGGAAAACATAAAGTGTGCGCTCAGCCCTCAGCTGCAGAAGCAACGGCACAAGTACGGTGGCGGTGGCGGCCCCTGTGCCTCTCCTGGTCCGTCGGCCTCTCTCCCTTCTAGAAATAACCACAGGCTCAAATCTGGGTGTATCATTCTCCCGCGTGTCTCTGAGTGGAACTTCATTGCACGCATTCCTGAGCATCATTACTGTGTTGTGCACAGCTCTGTATTTTTCAAAGCTGCCCCAGAACCGATTTCGTGGGCTCCTGGGAAGTAGGAGGCGCGGGGCTCCCCTGGAAGGTGTGAGGGATGGCAGGGCAGCAAGGACGCCTCTATGTCTTTGTTTTCATCTATTCAGGCTCAGGAGTTAACCCTGTTTCCAGCCCCTTCTCCCTAGTCACATGGACAACAGCTCTTTGAAACTTCGACCTTGGTCTCTCGGTGGCCTGGACAGGTGGGCCCATGAGGCAAATTCTTGTTCTGGTCCACGGCCAAGGCCTGCCCCTTTCTCCCTTGTCTGTCTCCACCATGGAGGCCTGACAGCTAAATCCTGGCTTTCCCAGGCTGGCCACACAACAGCGACGTCAGCCACACAAGTAGGAGTCAGCTGGGCTTCCGCAAGTGCCTTTGGATGCCTGATGAAGTGGGCAGGTCTGGTCATGCCTGCTCCTCCCTGATTCCTGGTTTATACTTGGACCTGACAACTGGAGCGGCAACAGGCACTTGGAATTGAGCTGGCCTCTCCATTCGATGCAGCAGGCCTAGTGCCCAGGGCCCACGATACTTTTAGAGGCCATGGAAAGTTTTAATTTATTTTAAAATCAGAAGGAAAAAATACAACCTGGCTCTTTTCATCTTTATATGAATTCAGTCATCATACACAATTTCTAATTTTTTTTATAAAGGAAAGGGGCCCTGCGATGACAAATGTATCTAATGCCCACAGAAGTGCTAGTGAAGCCGGCAGAAGGAGATTGGGAAAAGCCAGATTTACCAGGCCTGATACCATTTAGCCAGAGAATCAACACCAGCAGCCTCCTGCCCGCCGGTCCTTTCATGGGAGACATAAGTGCCTCTCTGATAAGCCTCTATAGACCCGGCTCTCTGCTACTTGCAGCTAAACTGACGCCTCCTGAGACAGCTCCCTTGTCACGCTGAAGTCCTTTGTTTCGCCCCAGGATAATGAGTGTGATAAGGTCGGGGCAGTTTCCTGAGTGCTGGCATCTCGGCGCACCAGGAACTCCGGGGGCCCAGAGCCCCGCCGCCCACGCACTTCGCTGCCTCGGGACTCACCTCGAGCCGAGAATTCTGGAGCTTCACATTGAGGGCTGCTTTCTCTTCTTCCAGCTGCTTTATTTCACTTTCTGATTTCTTCTTCACCTCCTCCAACTGTGCTTCTACTTCCTAAATGACGATTAGGAGAGTCAGGCATGCAAGGCACGGGCCATGGACAGGGCACAAGCTGCCTTGTCCCCAAAAGGGTTCAGAGAGGGTGGCACAATAGTACAAACAAACATGAACTAGAGATACAGGAGAAGGTCAAAGAGGGGTTAAGTCCATACCATGAGATCTGATACACATGGGGAGGGCAGGGGAGACCCTTGGCTCTCAGTTTTACAGCATCAGATAAGAAAAGAGAATGTTTGTTACTGACACAATTCTCTGTGTCCCATCAGTCAAAAGGCCAACTACATTCTCAGATTCAGGGACACATTAAAGGCAGAATGAAATGTAACAGTATTTGTAGATGCAGTATAATAGTATTTGATGGCAGACAGTGATAAGTGAAAGCTGCATGTTAAATTGATAAATCCTAGAGCAGCCGCTAACACATTCTCCTAAAAAAAATAGCCAATAAGTCATTGTGGAGTAAGAAAGGGAATACCAAAAATATTAAATAAATCAAAAGTAAACAGAAAAAGAGGCAAGAACAAAAAAGAATAGAAATGGCAAATGAAAACACGGCAAGATGGTAGGCAATGGTAATCGAGTTAAGTGTAAATGGTCTAAATGTCCTCTAACAGTGTCCAAATGAATGAAAGGGTAAGACCTAGACACACCAGAATAGCACTTTGACTAGAAAGGCACAGGTAGATTAAATGTAAAGAAATGGATTAAAGCACCTGCAAGACTAACCATAAAAGCAATGCAATGTTGATATTTTTATGAAAGTAGACTTCAGGACAGGAATTTTCACAAAGGATTAAAGAGGGCCAGCTCATTAAAAAGACACAATAATCCTAAGTGCATATAATCTAATGAACAAGTCTGAATTTATATAAAGCAAAGGCCAAGGAGAAATGGAGAATTTGAGACTTCAGCACTCCTTCCCCAACCATCCACGGCACAAGTGGAAGGAAATGAATGAGGAAACGAAACCTTGAAGGGCACTACCAACCAGCACAACCCAGCCGTCATTTACAGAACACTCTGCCTGACGGCAGCAGACGCCTGTTCTTTTCAAGTGTGTAAGGACCATCCCTCGAGCTAGACAAGATGTGGGCATAAAACAGGATAAACAATTGAAAGGGAGTGAAGTTATAGAACCCACCCTTTGACCACCAGGGAACTGATTAGAAATCAGTAGCAAAGAGGCATCTGAAAAGGCCCCAATATTAACCAACATAGGTCTAGATACCCAAGAGTACTTTTGGAGTTGATAGAAAGAAGTTGGACACATTTTTTTTTAGAAAATCATTCCCACTTATAATTATTTAAAGTAGAAAGCGGAGGCCTAGAATGGTTTGGGGCGACTTCTTTAAGGTCGGACAGTAAGTCCGTTTCCCCAGACAGTGCTTCTTACACACCCGCTGGAGTCTGGTGCTTGAGGGCCTGTCTTGTTCCTCCTACGAGACTTCCAGTTCCTTGAAGGCATGATTCCTGCCTCCGCGCTGCTCAAAAGGCCGAGGGCACCCTCAGTACGTGGTAAATAAACAGGGGATGGATAGAGGCAGTGAGGATCTGCAGGCCACGCTCCAAGGCACAGGGGGATGGGGATTTTGTTGCACTGCACAGACAGAGGACAAATCTCAGTGGCTTAGGAGTCAGGCACATCTGGTTCACATCCAACTGTGTCATCTCTTAGCTGTGTGACACCCAAGTGACTTCGCCTCCCCAGGCTCCTCAGCTGTGGAACAGGAAAACCCCTGCCTATAGGGCTGAGATAAGGATCAAATCATGGAGTGGAAAGCTGTCCTTCCATTTGGCTTCCTAGCATCCGGTCCTCCTCTAAGTGTTTGAGAAACCCTCCCCCTAATACGTCAGAGTCCTCCTTCCACCACAGAACCTGAAAACACCAGACCTGCTTTCCCAGACTCCCTTGCAACTAGGCCTGGGCTTGTGGCTGAGGCCCCACCCCTTGGACACTCCCATTCCAGATTGTGAATCAGAAGCCATGGATATGTGCAAGTGGGAGGCAGGCAGATCTGACGACTTCAGTTCCCAGCGCAGCAGGACAGGTCATTCCAGAGCAGCACTGACCAACAGAAATCTGCGATGCTGGAAATTTCTAAACCTACTGTAGCTAACAGGGAGAAATCGCGCAGCACCATGGCCCAACATGTGAGTCTCCAGCAACACATATCTATGAGCACTTGAAATGTGGCTAGCTCCACCGAGACACTGAATTTTACATTTTATTGTGATTAATTCAATTGTAAATAGCCATGTGTGTCTTGTAGCTACCGTACTATAGGGAACCCATCAGCATGGCAATGGCGAATGTACCCCAGTACTGATCCGGAAAACCGATCAATGCGAGGTGGCACACAGCAGTCAGGTGTACAGATCGGCTTTCCTGTGGGGAATAAGGTCTGTATGGTACCTAGGCTGCTATGAGGCTTGCTTTTGCTAAAACTCCCTCACCCCGAATTGAGACTACAGATAATTAATCTGTATCTCTGAAGCAACTCCTGAAAGTCTGTGCTAAGATGTCCCAAGGATGAAATGTAACCACATCAATCATCTTTATTGTTACCTTACATTTGCAACTTTCTCCTTTTTAGTTATTTGTAAGAAGTAATCACTTAACTAAATCTAGAAATAATGAGAACTTTCTTTGATGTAATGTGACTGAAAAGCAAAAAAAGCCTGTCTAGGCAAGGGTCGGAGCGCTCTCCTCTTGAGAGAATGGCTGAGGCACTCAGAGGTGCTCTCCCCTGAGAGTGGCTGTGCGGTCCCTTTTCCTCCACAGGACTTGGTAGTCCGTGTGAATTCACGTACCGCATCCACAACACACAGGCTCTGGAGGGCCAGAGTCAGCATCACCATACGAGACAGTGTGGTTCCCCAGGCCGTGTCCAGGGCCCAGTACTGGTGGTGTCAGCCATGAAAACTGCAAAGTCTGGCCTCAGAGGTGGCAGCCAGGTGTCCCCATCAGTCTTGCAATAGATTTGGGACATTCCCGACTGGGTAGCTGCCCGGTTCCCTGGTCTCCCAGAAAACAACCCATTATTACTTGTTACTAAATTCCCTTTCTACCTCACCTGCCCAGGGTGGGTGTGTGATGCTTGCCACCCAGAACCCTAAGTGATACAGATGAGACAGGGATGCAGCAGCATTAGCCCAGCTTGGGAGGGACTCAGTACATTTTCCCACGCTCTCGCTAGGAACCCGTGTAGGCAAGTGCTTGCTGTAGCATGTGTAGTCTGCTCTGTCTGTCAAGGTTATGTGATAATAGCATCTAATCCCATGGACAGGGAACACAGACAGGCCTCCCGGGTCAACTCCAGCCCATCCACCATAGCGTCTTCTTCAGTGTAAGGTAACGTGGATGGTACACAAAATACCTACAGCAAAGCACTCAAAGGAAGAGTGCACTCTGAACTCTAGAGGGATAAGTGTTGCCTATTTTTAGCCCACAACCCTAGATTTGGGGCCTCTTCAAGGGCCTAATTTATATAATTTATATCCTCAGTTTATAGAAATTACCAAAAGGTAAAAAAACCAACCACATGGCTGCAACCCCCAAACCCAGGAGGAAACACAATGTACGTCCGTTAGATTCTTCTCCCAAACAGACTCATGCGCCCTGATTAAAGCTGAAGTGGGATTTCTACACCGAGTCAGGCTTGGTTGATAGGTTACCAGGGCAACCTGCAGCTGTGGGAGAGCTACTGAACCTCCCACTGCCTGTGGCTTGGGATGGAAAGAGTGTTCAGCTGGAGTCTGGGAACTGGATTTGTGCGACCAGCCACAGCTCAAGGGGAGAAGAGTGCTTTCAATTCGGCTGCTTCCTGCTCAGCACAGGGGCGGGAAACCAGGGGCTCTGGAGTCAGGCTGTCCATTTTTAATACTACCTCCACCACTCACTGTCTGTGTGAGTTGACACGAAACCTTTTTCTCACCTCTAAAATGGCAATATGAATGCCCACTTTTGTAATATTGCTGGGAGGATTAAATGTGTTGCTAAGAATAAAGTACTTTATATGTATCAAGTATACTGGCTACTAAAAATATTATCAGACATGATATCATGCAATGCACATGGTAACTAATCACAGCCACTGTTTAATAGAACTTTTATTACAAGCTGTGCACTGAGCTAAGAGTTAATAGGTAATACCATACTCAGTCCACACAATAAGCCCTCAAAGTATGTATCCTGATTTCAGAGTCAGGTTTCAGAAAGGGTAAGTGACCTGTCCATGTCATGCAGCTGGTAGGAGAGTCAGGACCTGGACCCAGGACTAGCCTGGGTCTTCCATGAGTTTGTTTATTTACCCAACACACATGCGTTGAGTACCGACCACTCGTAGCCATCACACAACACTGCGTTCCTAAGTGACATATGATTGTGTTCCAGGAACCCTCAGAGTGGAGCACGTGGGCTCTTGAGTTATGAAGAGGCTTTCCTGTGAGACGTGGCTCCCTGTTACCTGCAGCTTTGCTGTCTGTGGTTTCAGACACCCACACCAACCGCGTTCCAAAAACAGTACATGCAAACCTTCGGAAATAAACCATTCCAGTTTGAAGGTGCGTGTCTTCCTGGGTAGTGTGAGGAAACGCCACCACCCCATTCCTCTCTGCTGGGACGTGAGCCACTGCTTTGTCCCACGTCTCCGCACTGTGCAAGTGCCACCTGCTAGTCCCCTGGTAGCCGTCTGGGGTACGAGACCCATCGTCATGGTGTCGCGGGGCTTGTGATCAGGTGATGCTTATTTTACTTAATAATGGCTCCGAAGGCACTCACATAATTTCTATTACAGTATATTATGATAACTGTGCTATTATATCATTAGTTATTGTTGTTAATCCCTTACCATGCCTCATTTATAAATTAAACTTTATCATCGGTCTGTACGCACAGGAAAAAACACGGTGCATCCAGGACTCAGGACTATCCACGCTCTCAGGCATCCACTGGGGGGTCTTGGAATGCATCCCTCATGAATAAAGGGGAATGATTGTAATTCAAGCATCACCTATGTTCGCAATAATATTTACGCTTCATTGTTTTCCTAAAACATTCACATATGTTATTTGCTTTCCCCAGCAAATAGGACAGATGAGGCTTTGTATTCCCCCTTAGCAGAAAGCCCCCACTTCTATGAGAGGTTGGAACAGTACCCAGAGGCTGAATATCTTGTCCCACACCGCCAGGCAGCTGACTCATTGCCCGCCTCTACGCAGTGCTTAGAAAGCCCCAGGCACTAGGATGTGCTTTGCTTTTTCACCTGGATCACCTCCTTTAATCCTTGCAGCTAAGCAGAGAGCTGCTGTTACCATCGTGTTTCATGCCCGAGGAACCGGGGCTTCCGCAGGCTCTCTTGGACGGCCCAGGTTAGATAAGTGCTGTGGGCGCTGAGCTCAGGCAGGCAGGGCTGGGCTCTGAGTCCAGGCAGTGGGCCAGGCCCCAGTGGTTGCTTCGTCACTTTTCCCTGACTGTGCTGAGTGCAGTTGCATGTTCCTAAGGTAAGTGCTCGGGTGACAAAATTCCGCCTCCTGTCCATGACCCCAGCCCGCGGTCTTTGGGTGTCCTTCTCTCCTCCAAAGACCCCAGACTCCCTTTGGACAGAGAACTAACTTACACCTGTTCACAGTAGGAGCTCAGGAAAGGTTTGAGGGAGGAAAGAAGAGAGAGGAACGAAGGGAGGTAAAGAAAAGGAAGCAGAACAGCGCAGACGTGGGTCTCACCGTCCGCAGCCTCTTTCTCTCGGCCTCCGCTGACGAGCGGACCGACTTGATCTCCGCGGTGTGTGTCTTCACCAGGTCTTCCAGGCGCTTCACCAGCTGCTCTTTGAGGTGCTTCTTCTCCTCTTCTGTCTGACGCTTGATTTTACGGAGGTCCTCTTCATACTGCTGCTTCACGTGTTCCGTCTCCACGCGAGCCTCTTTCTTGGCCTATAAAAAGAGCAGGGAATGACCGTTTTTCCTCTGTGCAACCTTTACAGTTTATGTGCTGGTTTACAGCCTGCCTCACAAGGTGCAGTAAAGTTTATAGGACTGTACATTTGAAATTTGTCAGAGACTTGACTTTATGCACCATCGGAAAAGGGCCCTCTGGAACAGTGTCTCTGTTGTCACAGGATCAGATATGGTAGCGGTTGCTAAAGAATGCTTTCTTAGTTTTGGCTGGGAACGTTCAGCAGGGACCCTACGCAAGTTTCCAGTTTGCCTGGAGTCAAAGATAAGGAGTTGGGGGAATTCTGCTACATTCTCAGCCTCCTAGTTTCAAATGACATGAAGTTGGCAGGAAGTCAGCTGGAGTTCAGACCCACGCACCACCCCTGCAGCCACGGCACCTGCTGCTCCCAGGTGAGTCCGCTGCGGCTGCAGATGGAGCTCTACCCGACCCGCACCGCAGCACAGCCTCCGTGCCCTCCCCGCCCCCAGGGCCGGGTCACACACTACCTGTGCATCTGTGCCTCCTTTCGTACACAGACATTCCTTGGGGAACTTCCGATCCTGCTGAGCACGAGGACTGCGGGATTCCAGGTCATTCGCTTTCCCTAAGATTTCATTCTCTGCAATTCGCTCTGTCTTCATGTCATCTATAAGCAAAAGTTTCAACTTCGTTTGGAATGCCCTTGGCCTTGGCTTCAGTCTGAGGTTTTCTGCAGCCAGGTCCCCATTCTGCTTTGAATGATTTTGCTCACCACTCCCCTGTGCAATCCCTGTCCTGTGGCCCCCTGGGCCTCGAGCACAGTCAAGGCTGTGACTGTTGTCTTTGCTCAAGCAGCACCCTGAGTTCGAAGAGTGCTCTCCCTTCTTACACTGCTCACCTCTAATTTTGTGATCGTGTTTTCCATAGGTTAAAAAAATTGAGCATGTTCCTGGAGATGTGTACATTCAAAGGGTTCAAAGTGAAGGGAATTTAAAAGATAAGAGAAGAAATAAATATTACTAAAATTGCTCCCTTTCTTCCGCTATTCCCCAAGGTCCTCATTCCCTGCTTCTGAGTCCACTGCTCTGACCCTCCACACGCCTCTGGTTCCAATCTGAACCTCCGCTCCCCTGCACATTTCCAGCCCTCGGCGATTCCTTCTCTACCTGACACATCACTCTCCTGCTGCCTGGGCCCGTCCAGGACACCAAAGCAAGCTGGACTCTGTCATATAACTGTGCTAGATGCTTCCCGGAGGCAGAGCGTAGGTCGCGTGCCTTTGTTCTCTCTCCCAGTGGCAAGCTGGCCACACTGCAGGTAATCAAGAACTTCCTGATGAAGGAGCCTAGTGGGAGGCACTTTGGAGTCAGATATTCTTAGACACAAACACCAGCTCCATCGACAACCAGGTTGGTCGGCCTTGACCTAGCCATGTAGCCTTTCTCAGAGTTATTTCCTCATCTGTAACCCGTGATACTGACACCACCGATCTCACAAAATTGTTGGGAAGACCCTACTACAACAGCACCGTATGCAATACGGTTAAAAGTGTGAAGTGTATGGTGCTTATCAGAGGGAAAGGGGCGGGGGGAGGGCAGAGGGGTCAAAATACAGTGACAGAAGAAAACCAGACTCCAGGTGGTGAGCAGGCAACAGAGTGTACAGACATATGAATTAAGTTGTACAACTGAAATTTATATAGTGTTATTAACCAGTGTTATCTCAGTGAGTTAAATATTCAAAAAGTATGAGGTGCTAAGTGTGGGATAGAGACCAGTGCTGAGAGCTTTGGGCACTACGGTGGCCTGATGGGGCAACTTCTGGGACAAAGGGGTCCTCCTCCCTCGTGTCTTCTGATATCTGGCCTGTAGCAGTGCTAGGTGTTGGCCACCTGTGTCCCCCATGGACGGGACTGGCCTGCTGGGTGGGTCGGACCAAACAGGCCTGCCCCTCCACCCTGCCCCACCCCCACAGCCTCCCGCCTGGCGTCTAACCTCCCATCTGGAAGGAGATCGTTCTAGGGCATCTCACCGGTTTTCTGTGTCACGTGACACTCCTGTAGCATCAGTCTGTCCTTGGCCACGGCCAGCTTCTCCCCAAGTTTTTTTGCAGTGCTTTTCAACTCTGAATTCTCCTGTCGAGCCTCCTTGAGCTGCACATCCAGGTCCTACACAAACAGACAGGGTCTCATGCCTCTGGTTACAGTTCTGTGCAGAGACATCCTTTGTTCACAGAACTAACATCAGATCTAAAAGGCACGGAAATGCAAAGCATATGCCCTTAAGTCTCTGTGATTCAGTGGCTCAGGGTTCATCAAATTCCCCATTCATCCTCCGATTGGCTGTATGACCTCCGTGAAGTTACTGAATCCTTCTGTGGTGAGGATAAAATGAGATAACGTATCTGGGACAGAAAAGGATGCTCAGGGCGTCTTGGGAGCATTATCCACTGCTGCTTCTAGGGATGGGGCTCTGGGCGTCCATGGGGCTCACATACTGGCTTGATGGTCTGGCTCTCCACGAATACAAAGCCCCAAGGATATCAGGACAGGTGAGTTGTTATGGAATGAGCAGGGTCTCTAGAATGAGGGTGGCCTGAGTTCACAAACTTACCAGCAGTGTGCCCCACTGGGTCAGTCCTTAAGCTTCTCAATGTCACGCTTGTCTTCCTATCTGTAAACTGGAAGTCTAAGCTCTCTGAGGTCAGAGACCAAGATCTGCTCACCACATGTCTCCTCCCCCCAGCCCTGGCCTGGCTCACGGTAGATAATGTTATATAAATGCATGCTGAATAAATGTGGTTTAACTCAATGGAGATAATAGAGCTCACTTTGGTAGAAGTCAAGTGCTTGGCACAGTGCCGGACACATAGCCAGTGTTCAAAATTAGGGGTCGTGCTTCTCCCATGGAAGAGGTAGGGAGGGATCCTGCATTACCTGAATCCTTTCCTTCAGCTTCTGGACGTACTTCTTCAGGTCACTTATCTTGCGGCCTCTGTGCTCCAGGTCCCCTTCCAGCTTCCGGACCTGGGCCTGCAGGGCTGACTCCTGCACCTGGAAGTTCTTGCGGAGGTCAGTCTCCTTCTCCTGCCACTGCCACAGGGCCTCGCTCACTGACTGCTGCATGGCCTGCCGGATGGCCTCGTTCTCCCGCTCGTAGCTCACCTGCAGCTCCTCGGCCTTCTGGGCGTAGTCCTTGCTCAGCTGCTGGTTCTCTGCTCGTAGCCGCTCCACCTCCAGCAGGACCTCTCGTATCTCGGGGCCAGTGCTTGGCTCTGCCTTTGGGTCAGGGCTCTCCTGGGACAGCTGGCCCCACTGGGGCACCTCGTGGCCCACCAGGTGCCGGAGCCTCTTCTCGTAGTCAGCCTTGAGCTCCAGCATCTCCTTGGAGAGGGTGAGGACCCGCTCGGCATGCTCCGCCTCCACCCTCAGCTCCCTCTCCTTGGTCTCCAGCCTGCACGTGGCCGACTGGGCCAGTGCCTCCTGCGTCAGTCTCTTCTGCAGCTCCAGTGCACTCTCCAGGGCCTGAATGCGCTGGAGCAGGGCCTCCTCCTCCTCTGCACGGCCCTGTGCCTGCTCCTGCAGAAACCTCGCCTTGGTCTCTGCCACAGCATTCCAGAGCTCCTCCTGGTGGGCCTCCCGCAGCGCCTCCATGCTGGCCTCGGCCTCATCCTGGCGGGTGTTCAGGGAATAAATCACCTGCAGGAAAAGCCACAGTGTGTGTGAGGAGTGCAGGCACGTGGGAGGGACGATGTGACCAGAGACGCTCCTCAGTGGTGGCGACTTAGGCCGACCCCCACAAGGAGCACGTGCGAAGAGGGTTTGTGTGGAAATGATTTATTAGGGATTGTCCCCAGAGGAATGAGTAAGGGAACAGGGAAGCAGGACAGGGCAGAAGCAAGGAAGGGGGTGGGATCATATAAAGGCCTCCAGACGGCATCTGTGGCATTGTTCCCCAGGGGACGTCTGCAAGGTGCCATGGGAATCCAGCAAGGGGTTTAAAGCTCTGATTTGTTCAAAAAGAACATGTTGGGAGGCAGAACACTAGAAAATGGAGTTCAGCTATTGATGAATTACACACCACGACCAAGTGGGCACGCTGAGTTAATTCAACATCTGAAAATCGCTTACTGTAATGCACTGCAGGAAGGGAATAGAGGACAGTGGAATAGAACAAAGGATAAAAGCCTCATGATGGTCTCCACAGACCCAGGAAAGGCATTTAACAAAATCCAACACCCTTTCATAATAAAAACCACTCACCAAACTGGAAGCAGAAGGGAACTTCCTCAACCTGATAGAGGGAATCTATGAAAAATCCACATCTAACGTTGTATTCCATGGGGAAAGACTGAGTTCTTCTCCATAACTTCAGATACAAGACAGGGATGCACTGCTAGTGTGGAGAAGAGAATGAAGGAAGGCAGGAGCATGGTGGGAGCCCATACATAGTAGGTACCACACACAGTAGGTACTCACACATAGTAGGTACTTGTACATAGTAGGTAGTCATGCACAGTAGGTACTCATTACATAGTAGGTACTTGTGCATAGTAGGTAGTCATTACATAGTAGGTACTTGTGCACAGTAGGTACTCATTACATAGTAGGTACTTGTGCATAGTAGGTACTCATTACATAGTAGGTACTCATACACAGTAGCTACTCATTACATAGTGGTACTCTACACGGTAAGAACTTACTAAATGTTTCTTCCTTCTCTCTCACATTAGCCCCTCAAAAGGGAGCATCCCTTGTTCTCGGAGATACCACATCTGAAGTTTTTGAGCAGATTTTGAGTGGATCCACCCTTTTCTGGGTTGGTGCCTCACAGGTTACCTGGCAACCCTTCTCCTGCCACCTCTTTCTTTGCTTTCTTTTGCTCACCACCTACTAAACTGAAACATCAAAGCACATGGCCCTGATTCATTTATAAATCCACCTTCTCAGGAGGAGGCTGAGTTCAGAATCCATCAAGGGACATGGATAATTCAGCAGCCAAGAGAAATACTGAGCAAGTCAGCAAGACTTCCTGAGGGTTTTAGAAATACACTGGTTTGATTTCAGAGAAAATTTCAGATGAGGGCCTTTTCACGTCTTAGGGGCTGAGCACTGCAGGCTTAGCCAAGCTGTAATGAATGGATTCTGAGCACCAGATACTGAGGAAACTTCCCATCAAGTCTGGCAGCAGGAGTCAGGAATGAAATGGAAAAGAAAACAAACAAACAAACAAACAAACAATATTTGTTGAGTACCCAGAGTATAACACTGAGTGAGCAATGTACATTATGAGAGAGAGAGAGAGAGAGAAGGAAGCCAACTAACACCTTTGGAGGTATTGCTCAGTAATTCTCGCCCTTGCTTCCTGCATCATCATTAACGGATCACTCCCATCAACATGCAGAGATGTTCTGTAACATTATCATTAACAAAAATCCTTCTTTTGATCCCATGCTCCCATTTTTCTGTAACCCTTTAGAGCAAACTCCTCAAATACTTGGTTTATAGCCATTGTCACTAATTCCTCACGTCCCCTTCTCTCCAGAACACTTGCCAATCAGGCTTTCAAGCCAACTCAATAATCCACCAAAACAGCTCCTCCCTGCTTCACCGAACACCTCCACACTGCTAAAACAATAGCTACTTCTCACTCTTCATCTGTTCCCCTTTTCAGCAGCATTTGATGTAAGAAATCACTTCCTTCTCTCTGAAACAGTGTCTTCTCAAGGCTCCCAGGATATAACACCCTCCTACTGATTACCAAATGTTCCTTCTTATCTCCTGGGCTAGTTCCTCCTCATCACCCTTCCTCCAGATAGGAGTGCCCAGAGAGCAGGCTTCAGGCTGCTTCTCCTCTCTACAAACATTCCCTGGGGGGTCTTATCCGGTTTCATGATTTTCTGCTTTATTTGCTAATGACTCAGGCTCTTCCTGTCACCTGAACATCAAACTCCTATTGTTTACCAAAATCTCCACTTGGATATCTAACATGCAAGTCAACTTATACTGTTTCTTTTTCTTTCAAAACCTGTTTTCCTACAATATTTCCCATCTCACTGCATGGCAATGTACTTCTTCCAGTTGCTCAGGTCAGTCAAGTTTCAGAGCAGACCAATAAGCACAGGAAGAGATGCTCAGCATCACTAATCATCAGGGGAATGCAAATCAAAACCACAGTGAGCTACCACTTCACATCCATTTGGATGGTTATTGCACAAAATAATCAGGACAGAAGCACTGGCGAGGATGTAGGGACATTAGAACCCTGGGCACTGCGGGTGGGAATTTGAAATGGTGCGGCTGCTGTGAAACTGATGCGTGGTTCCTTAAAGGCGTAACTGTGGATTTACCAATAATCCAGCAATTCCACTTCTGGAGTTTTGGTTCCAAAACAACTGGAAGAAGGGGCACCCTCGTAGCATTATTCACGCTGGCCAAAAGGTGGAAACAACCCAAGTGTTCATCAACAAAGGAATGGATAAACTAAATGTAATATATACACATACAAAGGAATATTATTCAGCCTTAAAAAGAAAGTCTGTCACACGGCACTACACGGATGAACCTTGAAGACATTATGCTAAGTGAAAGAATCCAGTTGCAAACAGACAAATGCCACATGATTCCATGTACATGAGGTTCCTAGGGTAGGGAAATTCATGGAGCCACAAAGGAGAATGGTGGTTGCCAGGGTTCAGAGGGAGGAGGGAACAGGGTGCATTGTTTAAAGGGTACTGTGTTTCGGTTTGGAAAGATGAACAACTTCTAGAGGTGGTGGCAACAGTTGCATAACAGAACTATACGCTTAAGATGGTAGACTTTGTTATTTATATTTTAGCGCCATAAGAAAATGGAAAATAAAAATTTACTGGAGTCACCCTGTCTCTCACATCCCACATTTACCCCATCGGCCCATCCCCAACCTCTCCGCTCCTCATCATTTCATATTCCCCTTAGCCCGGGTCATGGGCACCTCTCGCCTGGATCACAACGGCCTCTTAATCCTAGTTTCTGTCTTGCCACCCAGAATCTGCTTAAAGTTAGTAAAGTTATGTCCCTTCGCTGCTCAAAACTTTCTGATGGATTCCTACTGCACTCAGGAATAGTCAGAGCCCTGAATTTGGGTGTGGAAGTGCCCAGGAAGTGCGAAGGACACGCAATTGCTGTCCCTTCCCTTATGGAAATGGCTCAGAACAGGGCCCAAGCAAGGCTGGGCTCCTGGGCTCCGAGGAATGGATTTCTAGATGGAGTGTAAGACGCTAATTAAAATATCACCCTTAAAGAAGGAACTACTACCCTTTGCAACAACATGGATGGAACTGGAAAGCATTATGTTGAGTGAAATAAGCCAGGTGTTGAAAGACAAATACCATATGATCTCACCTTTAACAGGAAGCTGAACAACAAAACAAACAAGCAAGCAAAAAAAAAAACAAAGATACTGCAATAGAGAACAAGGGGACAGCGACCAGAGGGAGAGAGGAGGGAATTTAAGGGGAAAAAATGGGAGGGATTTAGAGAAACAAGTATAAAGGACACAGGGACAATAACTAAGGGGGGTGGAAAGGGGAGGGAGGTGGGGTGCATGGGGTGGGGTGGGCTGGGATGGGAGAAATAAACAAAACTGTACTTGAAAAATAACTAAATAAAAAATATATTTAAAAAAGAAAAAAATCTTTCTTTTAAAAAAACTCAGAGTTTTTCTTGGTTATCAAATAAATGTGATTATGACAGAAAAAAAATGTCACCCTTATGCATCAGAGAGCTGTTGCTAGGCACCTCGCTGCACAAGGCGCTGTGCTGAGAGGCATATGCTTCTGAGCAACTGAAGCCCAACTGTCTCCCAAACCCATCTAGATGGAGACTTAGCTGAAAGGGAAGGGCAGTCTCTCCCCGAGGGCTCTTGATTCCAGCCCCTACTCTCATCAGCCCAGGCGAACACTCACATGGGAACCACTGACCAGCTGCATGAGATGCGGGACCAGGAAAGAGGCCATCCTGTCTGTCTTTCAGATCTCAATGACTCATTTACAGCTTTTTGGAAAGTGAACACCAGTGATAGCTTCCTTGGTCAGCCAACCTGGTCAGTAGATATGCATATGCATGCATGATGCTTCTTCTCTGAATAAAGCCAGTATGAAGAAATCTTAATAGCTCTCACAGGAAATATTTTAACAGAGAAGAAATCCAGGTAGGAACATGAAAACTTGCAAGCATGCATCCAAACAAAATTGTGTAAACTCAAAAGCAGAAATGGCCACTCTTCGAGTCTACCTGTTCAGATTGTGACTTTGCAAATTTAAATTGTGAAAGCAGGCTTTGTGGACAGGTCTATGTAGACATGCACGTCCGCTTGTTCCATATCAATGACAGGACCCTGAGGGCTGTTACTCTCTCTTCCAAGCTCAGAGCAGCTTTACTACGCAAACCCCACAGCATGAAAGGCGAATATATTGAAGGCCCATATTATGAACTTTTACTTTGTCCACTGTTCTTGGGGGGTGGGGGAGGGATCTCTTTAAACGTTTTTCAATCCATTTATTGTATCTTTTATTGTATCTTCTGCATAATCCTCAGACACACAGTGTGTTTCAAGCTAAATATTCTTGTCCAAGTAACACTTTAACAAAACCCAAAGATCCATTTATGATAGTCTGGTCACCTTTGCAGACTGCGTTCCCAGTCGTGGCTGAATTTCT